TATTGAAGAGAAATCCTGCGTCCCTCCCTCTGCAATCACGTCTGCACACTTTTTACCCCACTCGCTCTCTAAAGGGCACAATACAGCCTTTTGTTTGCTTCACAGATCATCCTGCCTGAGGACAGGCGGGAGTACTTTTCACATTCAGACAGCACATCTACGAACGAAGCGTCAGTAAACATGATGGCGCTCGAGAAAAATCTAACAGACAAAATCTAGTACATTTAGTATTACTGCAGACCAGGAGATCCACTTTAGATTCCCCAGGAGAAATAAAGCACGGCTGACCAAGAAGTTTAAGAGAATCTCAGATTTGTAGTGTCAGAGAATTCCTAAAAGCTGGGGTGAAAACTGAGAGTACCATTAGTTTGCTGTTCAAGGACAAAAAGGCCAAACCCACAGCCAGGCTGTTTATGAAACCTTGCTCTATCAAAGGCCAAAGCAGAGGACATAACAGAATATCCCACTTATGTCACATCTGCTGAAGAGGAGAACAGCAAAGCCTTCAAGCTGCTTAAAGTAGCAAGAGCTTCATTCAACACTTGCAGCCAAACCACACACTCGCTTAGCCAAGCATTAGCAGCCTAACCTCATATAACTCTTCACCAAACAGCATAAGGCCTTACACATACAAGTAGGAACTGACAATGAAAATCAACCAATCATGTTTTGATTTCCAATTTCGTGGGCCTTCTGGAAGTCCTAGATGTGTCACTGACCGTGAATTAGAGTGGAAGTCTAACCAGGTTTCAGAGTGGCAGCTCTGTGCCAGGACTCTGTACTGTAAACTGCTACATACAAGGTAAAATATATGCTAATGTCTATTATAGTCCTCAAATAAAGCACATGGAAGTGTCTTTTACAAGCTCCAAATGTGTGTTTAGTTCAGAACAGCCGAACTGTTAGCTCAGTGCTAACATCCTGTTAAACATTGCGTAAGGGTGCTAGCAGAAATTAGCATTATTGTAGAGGTGTTTTAACATTTATGGCCCAAACCTAAGGCTTTGCTCTGATAGTCATGGTTCACTACTGAGTAAAACATACAGCAAAACATACCAATTAGCGTGACAGGTACGCCGTATTCCAAGGCTGAGATGGCGGTCCATTTCCCTGTTCCCTTCTGCCCTGCGCTGTCTCTGATTTTGGGCAGCAGGTGAGTGCCATCTGTGTCCCTGAACTTGAGGATGTTTGCTGTGATCTCAATAAGGAAGGAGTCCAGCTCTGTTTTATTCCACTGGTCAAAAGCCTGAAAAGAAGCTAGCATTAGAAATTTACCAGGAAGCTGATCAGAACAATGCCTTGTAGGAGGAAATGAGTCATTTTGGGTGAAATTGGTTGTTTCAAAAGACAACAGATTGAGGAACGAGGAAGTGCAAGGCTGTGAATTACCGGCAGGTAAAGGAGGAAGTGGATCTTGACTCACCTGTGCCATCTCATCATGGTCCATACCTAGGACATCTTTCATCAGGTGGTAGGCCTCACAGATCAGCTGCATGTCTCCATACTCAATGCCATTATGGACCATCTTTACAAAGTGTCCTGCTCCCTCATCTCCAACCTGCCCAATATATTACAAAGAACTTGCTACAGAATATTCTCACTCATACAGCACATCAGAATGTAGAGAACTCAGCATTTCAAGAGTCTCACCCAGTCACAGCAGGGCTCCCCTGTGCCAACCTTGGCAGCAATGCTCTGGAAGATGTCTTTTATGTGTGGCCTGTAAAAGCAAAATAAAGATATAATGAATAAGCTGCATACCTTTAAAAACACTCTGAAAATCTTGAAGCCAAACATGTGGAAATGCAGAAAACAAGTATCTGCTTAAATGTTTGATGATCTGATGACAGCGTGACATTTAAAGTCAACCCGAAATCTTTTTAACCTTCTTATATAAAAACATTCATCATACACGAATTTAAAAACTCGTTTTCCCCTTCCTGCACAAGATATTTGAAAATGATCCCTCCCATCATCCCCCACCTATCATCAAGCGAAAACACTGAGCTACCTCAGAGACGCTCTTCGATATAAAGTTGCACTCAGAAATACGTCACAGTACTGAAGGAATATGTATTATAAGTTTACATTGACTTCAAGCAGTTTCCCAACATGTGTGTAAGCCAAACTAAGCCTGTGTTCATATGTGCTAAACCTTACTGATCATCAGTTATAACAAATATGGTAACAAGGTGAGTAAAAGTCTCACCATGCTTCCTTGTGTCCGCCTGGCATTAGCGAAGGTCCATAGCGTGCCCCCTCTTCTCCTCCACTAACTCCACTGCCCACAAACAGCAGACCCTTAGCCTTCAAACTCTGACACCGCCGCTACACAGAAAGAGGCGCAAACAACATTTACATTAATTAACGTACACAAATCAATTTATGAGGCTCTACCTGTTTCACTGAACTTACTGTTGTGTCTCTGTACTCAGAATTGCCCCCATCGATGATGATATCTCCAGGCTGGAGAAGTGGGACCTGTTGAATGCCAAGTGAGAGTACCTTCACAATTCTGAATGAATCATGATATAAGAATCACACAGTATATTCAAAATGACATTTACCAGCTTGTCTATGAAGTCATCAACAGCCTGGCCAGCCTTGACGAGGAGTATGATGCGGCGAGGGGTCTTCAGTTTCGAGACCATGTCCTCGAGAGACTCCGCACCAATCACTTTGGTGCCTTTGGCTTCATTCTGTAAGAAGTCATGCACCTTGGACACCGTCCTGTTGTAAGCACAGACCTGAAGGAAGACAGAGAGTATGTCAGGTCACAGAAAGTGAATTTAAACATATTCCTAAGAGTCAAACTGAGACAACATGGACTTAAGAGAGGGTAACTTACAACAAAACCATGGTCATTCATGTTCAGGATCAGATTCTGACCCATGACGGCCAAACCAATGAGAGCAATATCCGCTCTGGGCGATGAGGAAAAGCAGAAGTTAGGAAATGAGAAGAACACAGAGCACAAAGCCTGGAAATCTGAACTCTAACAAGGGTCAGTCAGTAAAACAGCTGAATACTGCATGATTGGCTCGAATGAATGAGCTTAGTCATTTGACATTTTAACAACATGCTTTAAGTATTTCATTAGAGAGGAATGGAAAAGTTTTGATCAATGTTCTGTAGTTCATCTGGACATTTTTGTGTTTTTCCTTAACCTGAAATCATTAATTAATAATAAAATCCTTTGAGAGGTCGGTAATGACATGGCTGTGCAGTGTAAGTGGACTAAAACACTCCATATTCCTTTTATAGCGCATACAGGTCATAAACAGATGTACATCCACTTAATGCACTATATGAACTATATGGTCTAATGTGGGGAGCTACATGAAATGCGTTCATTGCTTTAGAATAGCTTGGTTAGTCAATTTCCAGTAAGTTATTGTCTCTTCTAACCGGCTAGCCACCCCAGCACGATGGCTAGCTAACGCTAGCTAAAAGCACGGTTAAAGCCCAGCGGTTACAGCTTGTTTTTTAAGCAGAATTATTGTCAAACACTTTGTCAAAACGTTAAACTTCAGAATCCAGAGAGAAACACTTACTGTGCCATGGCTGAAAGGAGACTCTTCGTAAAAGTAACTGCACCCTGTCAGATGAAGCTGAACCGACTGCGCTGCCTTCACTGAACTTCCTCATTCAGCCACACAGCCACAGCATAGGCTTTCCAATAGACAGCCCGACTGCATGACGTAACATAACCTCTATCAGCCATTGGTGGTTACAGTCTGAGCCGAAAAATACGAGCGCTGATTGGCTTATTTCCGTAGCCACGCCTCTCGAAGTATCATCCGTCCCCAGAAGAAGAGATTAGTGATGATTCAGTTCATCGAACCGACTCTTTCGAATTTAACAGTAGTAATGGTAAGTACGTTTCAGTTCTTTGAAACTGAGCTTTAGTAATGGACAGTTGGATTCAGTTCATCGAACCGACTCTTTCGAGTAGCAATGGTAAGTACGTTTCAGGTCTTTGGAACTGAACTCTAGTAATGGACAGTTGGATTCAGTTTAGCGAACCGACTCTTTGAAACTGAACTCCAGTAATGGACAGTACGATTCAGTTTACCGAACTGACTCTTGGGAACTGAACTGTTTTAATGTACAGTACGATACAGCTTAGGGGACTGACTGTTAAATGGAACTGTACTAATGAAAAGAGTCAGTTGAGTTTACAGAATCCGCTCCTTTGGACTGAACTGTCGTGAAAAGTTCTAGTTGGTTTACAGAGCCGATTCTTTTGATCTGAACAGTGGCGATGGAAAGTTCGGGCTGTTTTTCAGGGTTTGGACTCGGCCCCTTAGTTCCAGTGAATGGTAATGTTAATGCTAGACCATACAAAGACATTTTAGACAATTATATGCTTTCAACTTTGTGGCAACAGTTTTGGGGAAGGCCGTTTCTTTTAGATGGATTGCTGTAGATTGAGAGAGCCAGGCCTTCTCATTCAACATCAGTGGCTAATCTCTCAAATAATCTATTGGGCATAAATTCTTACATACTCCAAAATCTTGTGGAGAGCCTTCCCAGAAGAGAGTTGAGGCTGGGGGAGGGGGGTGCAACTCCATATTAATGCCCATGGTTTTGGAATAGGATGTCCAACAAGCTCAGGTCTGAGCTTAGGTGTGATGGTCAGGTATCTATTTACCATAGACATACTGTTAAATTCATTTTGTTAAATTTTGAAAGATTAATAAAATAATTTGAAATCTTCAGTCTATAAAACAAGATGCCACAAACATTTGCTCATTAAGGACTTGTGAATGGATTTCACCTGTATATTTAAAAGATCATCTGGAAAACATTTTGCAGTCAACACTCATTTTTGTAGGATTTTTTTCATGAATTTATGATGGAGATTTTTTCCTTCATTGAGTTGATTACCTGTTAGTAGGCCCAGTAAACCACAAGAGACAAAAAGGATACATGAATATAATTTGAACATAATAGGGAAAGTTGGTAGTTGAAGTTCTTAAAGAAAGACACGTTCAATGTATTCTGCTAATGCACTGGTTGGACTTTTATTGTTACCTCATTCACTAAACAGTTCAATGGTGCAAGATTACAATACACAGAATTAAGATATCTGCAGTACACATCTAGGCTATACAGCGAATGGATTATAATTATTACAAATACAGGAGACATATTTACATTTTAATTCAAGCTCCATACAACATGTAATATTTACAAAATAAGTATGAAAATGAAGCCAATCTGACAAATAATGTACAGTGTTAATGCCTTGGTTGTTGATTTTCAACAAAATGAGTGGGAATGTTAGTTTAATAATAAAAGGAGGCCTCTAAGAGGGAGTGAAGAACTTGTTTTTTTGAAGGCAGCATGGGAAAATGCATTACGATGACTGAGAAACAGAAAAATTAAACAAAAAGATTACATGGTGTAAGCATAAGCAATGACTAATTTTGGATTATTTCTAAAAATAGATTCCCTGATATTATTAAAATAAATCTAAACAGTAGCCCTCCCTGCATCATAATAACTTTGAAGTACAGACCTGGAGTCAAACTGTCTGAAGTAGTGTTGTTGAACGGTCGGCTAAATGAAAACAACAAGCAACAGGAAGCACTACAATGGTTCAATCCTAAAAAGATAAAAAGATGACAGTGAAACATATTTTTTTTCTTAACCATTCCAGTAAGTGAATATATTTGCCAGTGACATCCCAGAGGTACATTCAAAGTCCACTTCAATCTGTAACCACACCACACAGTCTGGTCTTACCCCATCTTTTGGTTCATATTTGAGTAAACAACAGAAACCCACTTTAGGCTTTATTTGATCTGTTAGTCATCATAACCACTTAGAATGTGCAAAGAGCTGCAAACTAATATATACATTGCAAAATAACAAATACAGACAGAATTCCTCATGAATGTCTATGTATTAGAAATGTCACACAAAAGTGAAAATCTTTGCTCTGTCAAGAATTTTTAACATACTCATATTCTCTTTATAAAGCATCAAGCTAATTACTTCCAGTGATTACATTTGAGTCTAATAACCAACATCCTTCAATACATGCCATTTAAAATTCTGTGTACAAATAACATTTTCAGCAGATTCAATAACAATCAAACAGCTCAAAGACATGGTTGCTCGGGCTGGCTGACCTGAGAACGTGATCATTTCAGCCATTTTCATTTATTATCTGTGAAAAAGCTTTCAGACGCCATCTGAGCCACAGGAGAACATCTAGCAGTCATTATTTTGACTTGGCTACACTGGATATGCATATAAACAGCTGTTCCTTCCATTTCTTTTTTTTTGAGTTTACGTGGAGCAGGTAACCTGCTGGTTGGTTGGCCAGAGGCTTACTGTACCATTCACTCACACGTCTCTCACGCTGCAGCATAAATGAAAGGCAAAGGCTGATGCACTAAAATTTGTTGTTTCCTATTTCAAAGATATGGCATACAGAGCAAATATTTTCATAGTAATAAATTAAGAAGCATCAGAGCATATCCAGTCCCTTTTCTATGCTTTACACTGCAAAACACCTAAGAAACATCACTGCAGTCAAGCTTTTAAAACAAAGTCCACTTTGTACTGACAGTGCTGAGACCGAAAGCTCCTTCAGTGGTCAAGCTGTGTTTTGTTTGTGACATGTTAATGTGCAAAACGTTTAGCTGGATAAAAAGGAAAAATGCCCTTCTTATACAACCTTCATCTTTTTTTTAACAAGTAGTTATTATAAAACAATGATCATTAGAAATAAAATAATAATAATAATAATAATAATAATAATAATAATAATAATAATAATAATAAGTTAATGCACACAACAGAGAAACAATAATTAGATTAGTTAACAATGTTAAGTTCATGGATCTCCTGCTCTGTAGCAGTTTTTTGAGGGAATGCCAAAGAGGCAGCCCACCGTCCCTGTCACAGCACACTACTGAGGGACTCCCTGGCCACAATAAATCACTGAATGAAGCAGATTACTACTTAAAGTAACCTACAATATAAGAACCACTCTCAAGTCACACTCTCAAACTGCCTATAAGCAAACCTGTGGCCACTGAATCCCTCTGGCTAAAATAACCTCTGTGGTCCTGCAAAAAATATAGGATAATGTGGACAACATTTCAGCACAAAAGGAATGTCTCTTGTTCTTAATGAGTAGCATTAAGCATAGTAATCCTGAAAAGTATGTACAAATGACCTTTATCTTAGGCCTGTCACTTTGCTCTGTTCTGTGCCAGTGATCTGATGTTCTTTTTCCCTTTCTTCTTTTCTTTTTTTAAATGTTACATCTTCTGAAGAACACAGAGCAGCTGAACTGAGTGTTCTCTTCTCATATATCCTCCCCTAGTGCTACATGGTAAGGTATCTTTACAAATGGGTATGTCTCATCTCCTCATTATGTAGAATTCATTTATAACAAGCAAACACACTGTGCTAAAGCACTGCCTGATATGGGCCAGTGATAACCAGTGCCTGACAATAAAACACGGTGTCTCAATCAAACACGTCTTCATTCAACAGTATGTTCATCTGTTACTGCAATAATACTCATGATTGGGGGGGGGGTTGTGGCGCTCTCTTCCAGATTTAGTCATACTAGGCAACTTTTTACTTCAGGAAAACGCCTTAGCCCATCTAGGTCTCATTCTTTTCCAATGTTGGGTCATCTACTCACTAGTGTAAAAAATATTGAGCTAATTTTTGTTCTATGAGAGAAATATTTAGTTTCACCTATTAACATAATGTCTTTTATCTAACTTCACTGGTGTGTGGCTTTGTAAGCAAACTGGTCATATCCTGAGGACTGCTGCTGTCGCCATGCGGGAAAAATGTACCTGACTCAACAGATAACACTGATAAAGACAATCTTTACAGACGAGTAGTTAACTCAAGAGAGAAGAGAAACTGTTCTGAAGAATCGTGCACACACAAACAGACTATTACGACATGCTACTAGAAGAAGGTTCCGTTATGACAAAGAACGAAAACTTAAGACGGAACGAATCTGAACGAAATAGCAAAAGGCTGGGAGAGGAAGAGAGGAGGGAGAAGGGGAAAGTGGGCTTTCAGGAACTCAAAAAGTTTCGTTTGCTGGAGAGGAGACTTAAGCCACAGGTCTACATACAAGAGAAAACCATCAAGAATCACAAAGATTAATAAGTGTTAACACTTGGTATGTTCAAAGGCTAGGCAAAAGAAACAGAGCACTATCTCTGCACACAGACAAGCCTGTTCAGTTCTTCATCAAACCAGAGCGTCTTCTCGCCAGTTTTGATCTGCGGAAAAGAGTAGGAGACACAAGGTGAGCAGTGACATAGGAGCTCTTGTTCGGGCACTGCTATACACACTCCGTATTAAATAATACTGGTGCTAACATTCATCCATCATCCATACATCTCTAAATTGGCAACTTTATAAGTAAAACGTTTTTAAAACAAGTACCCTGTGCCAGCGCTAAAAGCACAGAGTCACCCGCGAGTCATCCAATTTCAATGAGATGCAGAGATACTAAGTGGCAAGCAGTGTAGCGACCATTGGTGGTGTAATCTGAGCAATGCAATAAAACTCTGCTAAGCTAAACTCTATTCAAATGAGCAGCGATGTGAGGTGGTGATAACCAATCAGAAATAATGTTCTCATGTCTCAGGAAATGTGATGTGTCATCAGGTTCCTAAAGATCTGTTCTGTTGCTTTTACATGAAAACAAAGGGAAAGCTGACCAAGGCCAACACAGTGGTGTCTGAGTTTACAATGCTATACTTGGATCTCAATAAAAAATGAGGTATGTTAGAAGAAACTGCATTCTAATTTTGAAGCAAGAACTTAGCATAGCTCATTGTGAAGTAAGCTACGGACTAACTAGTTTTGTTCAGTGCATAAGTAATAAAATACATGTAGACTAAGTTTTCCTGAGCTAGATTGAGGTTACTCTTGATCAGGTATTAAAAAAGTGAGTTTAATTGTTTAAAATTGTTTAATTGTTTGAAACAGTTCAGAAGTTCAATACTATTTGCTATTTTTCTTTTATTGTCCACATTCAAGTATTTGTCTCATGTTAATACATATGGCTCGCGTACGCTAAGCTCTGGTTTTATACTGGCTCAGATTCCATTACAAATGTAGTTTGTATGACTGCGCAATAGTCCATCAAATTCATTGCCACTCTCTCTCTAAACTCCCACCAGTGACCTATCAAAATCTGCACGAGCCACGCTGAACTATATTACTGCCAGTGGTGTGCACGTAGGAATACAAGGTTTTGATAGGACAGCGACAATAAACTTGTAGCAGTTCTCATTGTAGTGTAATAACACCAATAGGAAAATGTCTGGACTTGGCTAAGCCCTTCAGTCTTTTCTTTCTATGAGAGATAGTGATGGAATACCTTATTGTTCCTGCTAGCAGCGGATTAAAAGCATACAGCCAGTCATTCATGTCTTTGTCATTGTTGGCCTGGAGGAGAATTCCTCTGTGCTTGGTGCACACAGCAAATGTGTTGGGAGTCTAAGAAACAAGACAACTATTAGTAAGTAAACACTTTACAGAACATGCAAACTTTGATTAACTAAATCCACAAAGTCAATTCTTAACAGACAGCAATCATATTTTATGCCACTGTCTGAATCTTGTGTTAAAAAAAGGTGATGAGTGCTAACCTTGAGCATGGCCTGCTGATCTTCACTGTACTCCACCTGTGCAGTGGACAGGTTCAGCACACCTCTCTCCACTGGGTCCTTATCACTGTTGTAGATGAAAACGTATGGCCGGCGCACCACCACAAAGTGCTTCACCCAAGAGTTAGAGCGGGGCTCCATGAAGCTCAAGTATCCTTTCTTAGACACCACAGACCTGGAAAGGATGACACCAGAAGAGATAAGCTCACTTTCAATCTATGTCAACCACCAGAACATGTTAGAAACAGACTGATATCTTAAAGTCTCTGCCATTATTAATGATATCTATATGGAGATCAACATCATGGGTTCAGTAGCCTTGTTTTTCCGACGGTTCCAACTCCTTGATGCAACCCACCATCAATTCCTGTTTTTTTATTTTTTCCCCTCTACCATTGTGTGTGAGAGTACTAACCCAGTCCTCATCTCCTCAATATCGGGCACCAGGTTGAGGAACTCGTGTTTGCCGGCACGGGCCAAGTAGGACGTCTCCAGGGTGGGCACCATGGGGAAGTTCTCATAGTCAGAGCAGGATGGGCTGGAGGCACGGGAATTAGCCTCAGGAGTCCTGGAAAAAACAACAGCACAGTTTAGGACAGTATGCAAACGTGGGTTTACGCTTGTCACGCCTGGTCAAAAATGAATTTATTATTTATAAAAAGTGAACAAATACTCAGTTAATATTTGAAATAAATGAAAACAAATTAAGGAACCCAAAACCAACTCTTTAAAGTGGTTCTAAACAGCACTAAAAAGGGTTCCATCATTGTTAAAAAGAACCTTTTTTGGTGTTTTATACAACTCATTTTGCAAAGAGTGTAGGCTATAAAAAAGACAATATCATATTGCCTTACAGACAAGGCTGAGGTTGTCACAGCTGCCAAAAAACACTAAGCAGAGCTACACAGAGCTTGAATACTGAACCCAGTATGTTGCCTTCAACAATGTCCTAAAAATAAGTAGAAGAGTTTGATTGAAGAGTGGTGAGGGCCACTGAGCAGGTAGTGTTCTTACTTCTGGTCCACTGAGCCACAGCGGGAGTCTGCCAGTGAGGGGCAGGTGGAGGAGGGGGTGAGGGTGGCACTGCTGAGGCTGGTGACTGATGGATCTCGACCCATGGGGGAGATATCAGACAACTAAGGGCGAATGACACAAGTCAGAAGTGAAAAAACAAAGTAAGGCTTAAGCTATACTATTAAGATTGATAACCATGATGTTGTTTCTAAAGAGTTCAAACAGAGTCCATTATACCTTGCAGTCACTGATGCTGTTGCACAGCTGGTTGTAGTCACTGTTGAAGGTGTGGGTCAAAAGACGGAGACACTAAAAGGAAAACAATTTATAAACCACACAGCCAATTCATGCTACCCATAAATACTATAAATACAATGTGAAGCATATCTTATACTGGATGTGTTACCTTGGTGGCCAGTTCTTTTTCGCGGTCCACCAGGCTCTCGATGTCAGTGGAGTCATATCCACTGCTCTCGCTGGGTGTGATGGCACTCTCAAAGGTGGTGGAGGAGATCTGGGAAGAGATGCTGGTGGAGGTGCTGAGGGTGCCGCTGCTTAGGCTGGGAGAGAGAGACTCACTCACGGACTTCTGAGGAACTGCCTCCCCCAGCTTCTCCCGCAGCAGCAGCAGGTGACGCGTTTTCTCCACCTGCCATACAAACGAAGACCAAGATAGAGTTTAGACATGAGAGCAGGGCTTTCCAATTAAAACAACCAAGATGTCTGGCTAAAACAGTAGCAGTAGACATCAGCCATTTGTCCAATTTTGTAGATAACATCAGACTTTACTTAAGCAAGTCTATTTGAGATTACCTAACTCAATGCAGTTTGCGGCAAGTCTGTGATGATTTATGCATGCAGTTTTCATTTTAATTTAAAACATATTGCTAATATGGTGTGTTCTATAAATTTGGTTAAGAATGACAAGATAAAGCTTGTCACAGGACGTGAGGAAGCCCTAAGCTAGACCTTTGGGCCTTACCTCATGCAGCTGCTCAAGTTTCTCCAGCTCCCACTGGTGCTCTAGGATCAGGCTGTCCCCTCTGGGCCTCCAGCCAGCCAGGTTCTCTTCTCCTCGCACATATGCCACTGATGTGTCCAGAACCTTCCGTCTCCGCCTCTGCATGCCTGCCATGGACATAAGAAATATTAAAATTACAGGCTGGAATCAATACTCATTTCCAATTACAGCAACATGTTTCAAAGGAACTTACAAAAGAGATTAGTAGAAGAGAACTTACCTGGGCTTCCTGTGTCGGCCATCTTGCACAAGCTGAGCTCATAGATACCCGTCACTCTGTTGCTGTAAGTGGAATAGTTGTGCACAATGTCAATGAATCAAACACTGGAACACTGTAACTGCTGGGGCACTCTCACACAAAGACATACACATAAGGTGGTCTATCTGGACCACCAGTGAAAATGAATTCTTTAAATTTCACATGCAAATGCCAAATTACCCACACTCCCACTCAAATGTTTGTAATCATTGTTTAAAAGATCACTGAAATCACTGTTTAACCTTTATATGATAACTTTACAGGTCTCTAATAATGTGTGGGAAGCTGTACAACATTAAGAAAATTTACATGAGTAAAGAATGATGAAGAGAGCTGCCATAACATCTGAGACAGGTGTGCAGCATTGGGAATTAAATTATAAAATTAACATCCAGAATGCCTCATTTTTTTTAAAAAAGTGATCTGGCAGATATTACATTTAAATAGATTTTACAGTGTATTATCTATAGCAGCAGCAACTTACTGTTGTCGTTAAAAACTAAAAAAATACCTTCTGGTGTATAGTTCATGATGATATTTCAATCTACAATCTCTAAATTATAAATTAATTAAATAACAACAATTATCATGATGAGTGATTCCAGACCTTTATACTGTGGTGTACATAGACATAATGCTCACCAGTCAGGTGTTTTAGAGTATCCACTGCCAAACAGATTCCTCAGAGAGCGTGGAGGAGAGATCTTGGCATCTCTAGAGTAGAACACCATGCAGATATCTTTGGTGATGATGGCAGGCTGGATGCAGTGGTCAAGCTATAAAGAGAGGAGAGGGGGTTAGATTAGTCCACCATAATGATTATACACACATTGACATTCGTCAGATAATGACCTGTGTTTACAATGACTCATCAGTATTTAATCCTTAGAAAACTGAATATAAAATTCATGTACTGCAGTGAGTTAAATGCGCATAGCAAGTAGATTAAGCTAACCTCCAGGTATGCAGACAGGGTCATATAAATCTTCTCTCCATAGGGGGTGACACGGTTGAGCAGGAGAGAGTTGTGCAGAGAGCTGTCCCACACGGCCTCAAACCGATAGAATGTTCTGCACAAGTGAATGGAAAAGGTCAACTTCTCAGTCTGCATAAATGCATTAGAAATCAGGTTTGGCCACAATATGCCACAAATGTAGGGTATGAAAATGACAGGCTGTTGCCTAACAGACACTTTCTGCCCACATTGTATACAATTAAAGAGACTATAGCTCATCTTCTCCTATGCACAATTTATATTAGCCATCCTCTAGCCAATACTTAATGATCAGTTTCTGGCCACAGGAGTACTGTTGGCTGGATATTTTTGTTGTTGGCGGACTACTGTGGTGTTGTATATACAACGCTACTGTGCCTGATACATCCATACCAGCACAACAGCCACTACTGTGTTGGAATCACAGCTTTGCTGAGAATGGTTCACCACCAAAATAATATCTGGCCAGTGGTGTTTCTATAGTGATCCCTTTCCACTGATGAACATGGAAGAGGGTAGCTGACAAATTTTCCACAGCAACAGATGGGCTACAGCCAGTAACTGTATACCCACACAGTGCATTTATATGTTAAGTTCCCTGCAGAAAGAAATAGTCATGTGCATCATTTCTTTCTCTAATTAAGTTAAGCGTTCCCTTGCCTTAATAACAGCATCGAAGTTATCAGGTAAGGATTACGCCAGTCTTTTGAGGTTCCAGTCCATTCTAGTCCACTCTTCCACTAGCTTATGTTCAAGCAGAACAAAACAATGACACTCCCACATTCCAGGACACCACCTGTAAGGTGTCTGTATTTGACTAGTTCAACTAACCTAGTTCTTAATTTGGAGAAGTAGCAGGTGATAAGCCAAAACAGGTACACAAGAACTCTGGCTGAAATGTGTCCTCAGTTTGTGGAAAAGTGGGCTAAAATAGACATGAGGTTGGTGTAATGTTACCAGTTGGGATTGATTACAAAGTATTAGAAAAGAAATGACGCATGCAACTAATTCGTCTGGTGAGCTTAGGGATACCTGATAAACGTGTGTATAAACAAAGGCATTTGCTTGTGGGTGCCTATACTCTGAAAGGAGGACATTCAACCAAAAGAAGGAACAAAAATAAATCTTTCTTAACTTAGAGAACATTTCCTCATTTGTCTCTCCGGTAGCATAATGGCAATATTGCCTATACTTTATGCAACGTGTGTTTCTCAAACCAGCTAGCAAATTCTCTGGCTATTAAAAGGAAGTACTATAAAGTCTGCAGGATCTTTAACAGAAGCTCCAAGCAGAGAGCACACAAAGGTCAGCTGGTCGCTGACAAAGCTACGAAAATGTGTCACTGCCAACTCTTTGCTAAGGTGTAAACTTTACCCTTCGAGCTAGTGCAAGGATTTCTAACACTAGATGAAAAAACAAGGTGCTACACATACTTTTTCATGCAACACCAGAGGATGAAAGACCTTTACTGTGAAACAAGATGTCAATATGGTGTCATGTAACAGACCAACACAATGCTCAGAAGTGTAGTAGTAGGTGTTACACCATTAGGAAGCTGGTGAGAGGGTGACTCAGGAGCTGAGTTTAGGGCAGATGGACTGAGAGAAGGAGTAAAATATGTATGTGTAGCCTCTGCATCTATATCATACTGCTGATCACCAAGAACCATAACTTTGACATGTTTCCCTGTAAAAAAAAAAATTACAGAAAACCTGACAGAGCAGAATGGGAAGCTGCTAAATTCCATAAATAAACAAACAAAACTGATACTTTCTGTAGAATTCTTCCATAAATTCTCCAATTCAAGGTATGTTTAAAATGTATGAATTAAGCTCTGCAAAAATGTCTAAATTAAGCTGTGAATGAAGTTGTTAGACTTTTCCAGAGGGAAGAATATGAGAATATAATAACAGTATAGTGGTCTGGGGGTTTCACCTACTCCTGGCTGGTTGCCCAAAAAAACACTAATCCAGCTGGCGGACATGGGATGTTTTTGGGTAGTGGGTAGTCAAAAACATAATACTGTGGTTTACTTTTACTTTCTCAGAATGGGTTTAGGTTAAAGCTAAACTATATAAGATATGGGGATTTGGTGACCCCTCTGGTAGAAATGTGTAATTTCACAATGTTGATTGCAAAAGAGTATTCAAAGAGAACTCAACCAAAAGTTTTATACAATTAACATTTAAAACACTGACAGAATTCAGCAGATGGCAATTGTTTTCTATTCTGAGTGTGCTTTCAATAATTTCTAAAAACAGAGAATTGCATAAAAAGTGTCTGTGGTAATCAGCCATATGCTACAGATGCAGCAGAAACAGACAATCCTTCAAGAAGTGAGATGGCGCGAATGTGGGTTAGGCTGTGTCGTGTCTGGTTGTGCTGTTGGGATTGAGAGCAGAAGCAGACAGCCTCCGTCTAAGCAGATACACGGAGAGTATGTGCGTGATAGATGCAGGTGACTCATCCTCCGGCTTGTGTCTGTCAGCTGGACTTTCTCCAGCAGTCACTCACTCTCACGCTCGCCCTCCCACTACCTGCACAGTTGACACATCCCAGGTAGCAGAAGACAGACTTAAACTACTTATTTATGCCCCATGAAATGTCTGACATCTCTGGTGGTGGATAACAAACAAGCTGTTTTAATGCGCATCATGAAGCAGGGAACATCCTTACAAGGCTTTAATGTTTGCAACTCTCAGTATCAAGATTAATGGCATCAGGTTTAGTTGGCTGAAAGTAAAAAATAAAAAAAAAACAACAAAAAACTGATTAAAATTTACTGTCTTGATAAATCAGCAATGATCAGCAATTTGATTTATGACAGTACTTTTTTGTACTGATCTTTCTAACAGTAAGACACAGATAAACATGTTTCATCTCTGGTGATGCCACAGCCATCAGTTACTGGGAGTCCAAGTAAGCATAATCAGCCTTGCTGCCTTGCAGCCCTGCTCTCTCTGGGTGGGTAGGACGGCTCAGTCAGTTCAATATTATGGATACTTCTCATCAATCACTGTGTAGGACAGACATAAAGTGGGCAATACTGGTCAACTTATTTACAGCCCTGTGTGTTCATGACCTTAACCAAAAGTGTAGACTAAAGAAGCGGATTAGCTGAGCTGAGGTGTTTCTGGTCCATGATGAAGCGACTAGCTCTTTCATTCTTTGTCATACAGAGCTACATTTTCAGAGGCACTGGATTATATGAAACAAGGCTCTGTATAAAACTTTGTACAAACATTTTTTTTTGCATGCAAATGCATGGCGAAAAGAATCTTATACAAGTAAAGATAGAGAGAAGGCAATGACACATATCACTGACTACTGGTGGCTATTCTCTAAACTCACAAAGAGTACATATTTAAATGAGTTTCATAAAGCCCTTTGCAGGGAAAGCGCTTTATGTTCATGTGTTGCTGATACCTAGCGATATCGTAATCAATACAAAGCCTGTGCAAAACCAAGAATCCAGCCGCAGGAGCAGCAGCAGGAAAAGAACAAAAGAGAGACAAAAAGAAGCAGAAAGAGTGAGGTGGCAGGACGTGCAAATCAAGTAGCACCATCAGCAATGAATGAAATGGAAGAGGCAAAACAAAAGACATACAAGCAATAAACAAAACATAAGAAACACACACATGCCTGACCGTAAACATGAAAGTGAGCACAATTCTTAATCTGCCATTTCTATCTTTGTCCACTAGGTGTCTCTCTTGTTCCAAATCCACACAACTCTGCTGCCATGACTCATTCTCACACAGAAGAAATAGGGCCAGACAGGTAACGTACATCATGTTCTCCACAATCTGATCACCAGCAGAAATGGCAGGATAAATGAACTTGGCTTATAGCAGGAGACTAGTCTTAATTTTTTATGGTGACACTAGAACACCTTCGGCATTGTATGTTTGGTGCAGAGAGCCTGTGTGATGAATTGCAAAGTAGAAAGGGTTGGGCAGCATACCTGTTTGTGTTATGGGAGGATTTCATGTTTTTGGCTGAGATGATGTTGAGAGAGAGCACTGCGTCTGCAGCAGTGTCATCCACTTCTGGCTTGCTCCTGATCCGACCTGGAGGAATTACAGCAGTCGCCATTACTCAAAGCATTCACAGCAGCATTAGATCTCTATTTTAGTTATACTGCGCTGCCTAAATAACTCACCAACCACCAACTCCCTGACGTCCTTCCAGTGAAGCTCACTGCCCTTCTCGTGGATGAGCGTGACAGTGATTCTGCGCTGGATGCCCTGAGGAAAACACACAGAAACAAAACCATCACAAACAGTAACAGCATCTAGCATTGCATAGCTTTAAAAACCCCTAAACACCAGCTACAGCCAAGATGAAGAGATGAACAATCAGCCTGGTGTCTGACAGGAAATATACTCAAATTTGATCTGAAATCTTTGAGAAAATCAAATTTGCATAATTCCCTCTTATCCCAAATGTAGTCAATCAGCCAAGACATGTTTCATGACTCAAAGTTTGCTTCTTTAGTTTTGTAACGAGGCTAATGTAGCTAGCCAGTAATGGAGGCTTATAACTACTAGTTCAGCATTGTGTAAACTGCATGCGTAAATCACTGAACCCTCAAACCAAGTCGAGTTGTTAAGTAATCTCAGATATACTTGTATACTGTGGTTTCTGACACTGTGTGAAAATACTGTTATCTAAAAATGGACAAAAGTATACTGTACAGCTAAAAACAGTATCAAACTTCCTGAAGCTTGAATTTTCTACATACTTTTTGTCAATTCTTATAGATACCTTGGTTATCAGCCACATTTGGGTGAGGGGGAAAAGTGTGTACGCCTGATTTTTGGCCAGATGATTGCTTGCAGTAGAGGAAAGATAAAGGAAAGACGGAAAATGAAACCTCCCACAGGTTACAGCTACACAGGGTGACTGGTTGTTACCTGGTGCAGTAGGTAAGTGCCATTGCAGGGCAATCCTCCAGTGTGGTCAACTACTGCTGGAATATACCTATCAAATGAAAAGCCAAGCAACAACAAAACATCATTCAACAAGAAGAAAAAAAGATCAGAAAAAAAACAAGAAGGACGTTTACCGGCACTAAAACAGCTGGTTTAGGTAATTAAGGGCTATAATCAGATGTACTCACTCTCCAGTTGGCTCTAGCTCACTGATCTCAAACCAGGCCAGCAGGTCATACTTGCTCACACATTGGCCCAGGTTTGACTTGCTAATGGTGTTCAGCTTGGTGGCTGGCACTGCAAGCAGAAGGATTACATTTAACAGAGCTGTGATAGAAACGTACGCAGCCACAGGATGTATCAGCTAGATTTGTCATGTGTCAGCAGATATACAGTACTATGCAAACATCTTAGGCCATGTTATGTAAAGATATCTATCTGGGCAGAAAACATTTATTTGTTAAAGAACATCAATTTTAGAATAAATACAAATAAACATTACATTCGCTAGCATGTCAGTCAGTGTGTTAGTCTAACCACTTCCAATCCTCTCCCTAAGAAAACGTAGTACTTACAATAAAATACATAGTTTATCTAATCTATCCTTCAATAAATTAGATCAGGAGTGCTGGTGATGGGATTTAAATCCACAGAAATCCTGGAGTGCACTAATTTGACAACTACATAATCTTATTGCTTTTTACTACATTAATGTTAGTTTGGAAGTGTCAAAGACGTGTCAATTACACATGAATGCATACATTATTTTAATTATTGCAAATGTTCTCCCCAATTTAGTCATATCCAATTCCACCCACTAGTTAGAACTCACCCAATCACACAATACCACCAGCACTAGGAGGTCGAAGGCTAACACAAGCTTCCTCCTAGTCCTGAGAAGCCAGCCACCCCATCTTTTTAAACTACTGTTAACACTTAATATCACTGGACAGCTGAACAAGCTTGGAACCACCAGTTCTGTTACATCAGCTAACACACGCCTGTGCTGGCTAGCATGGCTGAAGCCCACTCTAACCACCCGGAGAGAGCGAGGCCAATCATGCAGTCTTGGACTCCTGGCCATGGATTGCAATAGCATCATCGGGGATCAAACTTAGGATCTCCTGAGTGTTAGGGCCAACACTTTGACAGTCGCGCCACTTTGGAACGACAATGCAATTAATTTGGTTCAGCCTGAAGCCCAGCTGCTCATGCTGTTGCTATGACCTCACCACTGTAGTCCTCTTGTTCAAATACAGCTTTTAATGGTAGCTTCCACTGAAGGCTCAATACTTTCATGCTGTGTATTTGTTTATTACCGAACAGTGAGTCTAAAGTATCAGGTATAGCTGTAATTAAATACATTGCTGTTTAAATTAAAAAGATCTCTTTAGGGTTTAATTAGAGAAAATAAGACAAATGCATTTAATTGTGGTTATCTACACAAACTAACACCGTTAAAATACAATTGATTATTTTAATGGTTTGACAGCTGTGGTTTATTTGTATTTCTTCGAATACACACATAGTGTGCTTACTGCTGAGCTAAATAGCTTTAAACAAACAATCTTTGTGGGTGCCTAAGATGTTTGCAGCGTGCTGCATATTATATTAGTCTCAATGAGGCCATTCAGTTAATTGGTCATGCTGTTTTGTTTTTACAGTTATAAATTAACTAGCTAATAAAATGAACACTTTTTTTTTTAAAGAGACATTAACAACGAGAACACCGCTTTTTAAAAGTGACAACTGTGAATGTTAAGTGTGAAATGCACCATGAATGAAATGAAAGGACTGTTATTAGTATGTCTGTACACAGATAAGCTGTTCTCTACCATGCATTAGACCTACCACTCAACTCACGATCAATACAGTCTGAGGTGTTCTAATCAGACCAAACCGGAGGGTCTCCTCATTTCCTGTGCTACTCTAACTCAGCTATAGAGAAGACTGATGCTAAAGTAGTAAAGGGTAGACTGGGAGGTAGAGTTCATGGCTCACAGGAAACGGAGTATTTGGCTCAGGATAGGGTGCACGACACGTGACTACAGGGAAAAGCATACTGTAATGATGTTGCTTTGGCGATAATACAAAAGGCAAATCATTTGAAAGCACTTAAAGCACTGCAGTATCAGACCTGTGCTATGATGCTAGGGAGACACAAAAGCAGCTGTCACCACTATCTGGGACTGGCAGCCTGGGGAGGGAACTGAAAGAAGGGATAACACAAGAAAAGCCACCAGAGCTGAGAGAGGAGCTCATATCCAGCTGCAAAACATGTTCCTTCAGGATTACATGGTGCCTTTCATCCCTGTCTCATCTCACTTCTGAAGATAAGCCTAATAATTCCCATGGGAACACTACTTCATAGGCATTGTTCGCCATCATTCACTGCTGATTCTAGTGAATGAATGGATGGAGACTGGGCGTGGCACGGAGCTGGTTACTAGAGGAGCTACAGGATCCGGTCTAAGTCACCCAACACTCTGATACACAAGACTACACCCACAAAGCACATTAAAGCAATAGTGTGGCCAAAAATCTAAAATCACACAATTTTCCGCTTATGCCAAATCTAGTGGATCAGCCAAGACGTGTGGTCTCCTAAGTTAGCTTCTTTGCTTAGGCTAAGGTAGCTAACAAGCAGAGGAAGCTTATGACTAATAATTAGCATCACATAAGCTGCTTGCCTATGTAACCGTAGGACATTCTGTTATATATAAACATAAGACAACAGTACGGACAAAATTCAGTCTTCAGGATAGCTCTTATTATGGATTACCTATTGTCGCCGTCAGAACAAAATTTTTTTTCTCCAAACATTCTGTAACGTTAAATGCAAGTTAATAAAACAAGATTTTATTCCAAGCATTTTGGATGGACAACAATGGAGACAAATTTTGTCCTGACAACAACACTGTATGATGTACTTCTGTCGATTTTTATATGTCAGTACAATATACAGTGTCAGAAACCACGTAAGCAACCTCATATAGACTTGCTTAACAACACTACACAGTCTGATGCAAGTGTGTGATTATTTAGGCATAAAGTTTGCAAACTGCATTATTGGCCATAAGTTTACATCACTTGTTAGCTATGACAGCCTCGTAGCTGTGGTGCAAAACTAAATAAACAAACTTCAGACATCAAACAAGTCCTGGCCAGTTGAATACATTTGGGGTAAGAGGAAATTTGGATAACACTGATTTAATCAGACTTTCACTTTAACACCTGACACAGAGCCATGCACACTCACAAGATCCCTAAATTACACAAGATCCCTAAAATTACACTGGCTATCTCCAGTGCACAAACCATGGTTTTTGGGCACAGTGAGGGCGGGGCCATATGGCACAGGCAGGAATGGGAAGTGAGAAAGCTGGTCAGCCCTATCCTCCAGGGTGGCCACAGCTGTGGAGGCAAGTGCGTTGGCGTGCTCAGACAGTGTGTCCAGCACCTGGCCGTGCACGTAACCGGTCATCAGATACCTGATCAGCTCTATCTTACGGGCATGGTCTGCCACAGAGACCATGAGCCAAAACCAGAGATGGAAGGAGACAGTGAAGTTGCCAAGTTTGAATGGGATGCAAATGAGAAATGAGAGGAGAAAGAGAAAAAAGAAATAAAAGCACAATGAGGAAGCATGTAAGCATGGTGTTATGAGACATAAAGTGAAATGAAAGGTCTACAATAAAGGCCAAAGAAAGGCATACCAGTAAAAAATAATGTGACAGCATTATGCCTTCACAACCCTGATTTCTTGGGTGCTGCCTCGAGAACGCATTACATACACTATGTCACGTATAGCCATAGAGCTTTTCTCAATCATTCATATCCACACTGAACTACTGACATATTTGTGCAGCACTGAATCTGGCTGCATAGGAAGCTGACGGCTTGTGGCTACAGATCGATACACTGCACAGACAGATGACACGTCAAGTTTGCAGCCTCTCATTTTATTTTTGGTCGCAAAAAAGATTTGTTCCTGTCGAACACCAGCAGGCAGAACTAGTGTAGTGTAGTACAGCGTCTTTTGGACCAACTGGTCTGAGTTAAGAAATCTCTAGGCTTTTGTGGACAGATAAGCATGTCACGAGAGAGCAGAAATTAGGACATAAAAGCACTATATCGTTCTAAGTCATGTACAAAGTTTTACAGCTTCTGTACTGATAAATGATTCAGGAAATTAGATAACTATCCTGATTACATGCAGTAATTCTCTGGCATTGCATCTGCTTAATTTGTTTGAAAGGTTCCATGAACGTAGCTTTACAAAAATATGTGAGTGACCACAGAAGATATTAATAGAGAGGTCCAGTTCTCAAGCTAGTAGCCATACCTGGTTTGGACAGAGGCATGGGTGGGGGGTAGTATTTCTTAGAAGGCTGTGGTGGGCTGAAAGATAAAGGAAAAAAGGCTTTTCATTACTAACAGAGCAACAGTAAAATATAGTGTGTATCATGATTAACGGTATCTGACTATGCCGTGAACATATTCAATTTTGTAGTACAAGAAGTGATCGCTGGGGCAGTACCTGGCCACATCCTGCCCATGACTGTGCAGTGGATGTTGCTGGTAATGTCCAAACACTTCAAACACAATGGGTTTGGACTTGATGTACTCGATAAAGGACTCTGTGACTTCCACGGAAATCTAAGCAAATGTTCGTCATCTCCATCATGAATTGTGATGCTGTGGTGCATGTAACCAATGTAAGTAATCATCTTTATAGTAATTATCATTTATAATTATAAGTTATAATAATAATGCTAAGTTAATCTATAGATAGGTTGTGGTGATTATTCTGCACTTAAAGCAGCTTTGCCCCGCTATTTTTCTTTGCTGCATCAGGTCTGTAGCTGAAAGCACTCACGTTCTGCACGTGGTAGAAGCCCAGCGGGGCGCTTTTGCCTGTGTTCTTTAGTGGCTCAGTGCTGAAGGCCTCATCATGACGATGGAGGAAGCTGTTGACGACAAGATTACAGGATTACAGAGTGAAGCATGAGTCTGTGTGTGTGCGCACGCACGAAACAGTGTTTTGTCTGAATACAGAACGCTGACAGAAGGAGAGGTTGCCATGGAGACGGCTGACTCACTTGAATTGGCAGAAGATGTCTGCGTACTCTGGCAGGATGCCAGCAGCCTGCAGTACGGTGACGCGGAAGGTAAAGATACTGCCCACCTCCAGCTGGCCAGCCAGACCCTCCGATCGCCCCAGCTTAGTGTCCACGTTCCCCAACTTTAGGTCTAAAAAACAAAATAATCATCGAGACTGTATTAACACAATGCTTAATACTTTTCACAGTAGCCATATATGCTATTTCTACCCGCTTTGGAGGTACCTCAGTTGTGTCCTTATATAGTTTTTCTTCAATAACAGAATATATTTCATTGGAATTGTGTATGAGTTACAAAACTAGACTTTTCACAGGCAAGCAAGTAAACATTTCTAAAAGCTGCAGTGGCACTCTGTTTTATTTCGACAGCAGGGGGCTATTACTCCTCCCCTTTCACCCCCATTGCTCACTAGCAGCTCAACACACAGAGAGCCAACAGTGTCCAAGTAAATCTGACAACACAGATACTAGGAAAAATGTTTTATTTGATTATATTGATTTAAAATGCCCATTCTGCTGAAACAATGGCCACTAGGGGCCCTGCAGAAAACTGTTAATAAGAATAAATAAAAGGGGAGGCTTGGTAGATCAATTTCTGGAAATATTTCTGTGAGCAAACATTTTTGGAACGTCCCACAGTAAATCCTCCCTAAGCCCATTAAAAGCCACTGAGCCTCACCATAAAACCCGAGAGGCATAACACAATCCAACCTTCAATAAGAACATCTGTCTACAATTCACTGCTTTTCTATTCACACTGAGTGGATGTCCTTACACACATAAGCTGCATGCAGTGTACGGGGTCACCAGCTGTCCCTTTCTTACCCATTTCATTTATTCTGTTCATCTCTTCTGAGGGGGTGATGACCTCTGAGCTTTGACCTTGGCCTTCCACAATACGCAGCTCCTCCAAAGAGAGACCAGAACGGGTCATAGCCACAGAAGAGAAGTCAGTCTGGACAGAGAGGAGGAAAAGGAGAGCAGACTTAAGTACAGTAATCACCTTAGCTGCCTTCTAGAAAAAAAAAGAAAAAAAAACAAGCAAATAACACAGCCACTGATTGAAACCGCTCTCCCCCTAATAGTAAGGTCAAGCAGTATTTGTTCCATTAAATCCAAGGTGACTGGATAATTGAATTTTTTTAGCCTCAAGGCAAAGACTCTTTAGGGGATATTTAAAGAGAATTTAACACTCATATTACTGCACAGACTTACAGGCTACCACTTACACTGCCCTGGAATATTCTTCCCAAATTTCCCCAAATGTAGGAATATTGCAGAAATGTCATTCTAAACGGAATGTAGTGCTTTAGTGTAGCATCACTCTGAATGAATGCCCTTACCTTCTTGAAATACTCATCATCAAAAGAGATTTTGGCAGTGCCAGACTGACGCACACCAGAGCCATAATCAGGAGCCTCCTCATCAGCTGAAACCAAACAAGAACAGCAGGTAAGAAGATGCAGAGGGTCTGCTAATGACAAAGAGATTTAATAACAATTTTATTCGGAACAACTGAAGGGCTAGACTCGGATTTTAGAACAATGCAATAATTAATCTAATGGTCGCTGAATCTCAATAACATGACCCTTCTAAATTAATACTAATAAATTCATATTAAAAATGTAGAGAAAATGGGACTCCTAACAACTGTGCAAGACCTGGTAGACCACCCAAACTGAAAAATGGATTGGGTGTCTGCATGTGAATGGGTTTGGAATTCAGTATTTGGATCTTGAAAAGTATACAATACAACCAACTTTTAGGACTTAACTTTGTGGAAAAATATCTGTGTCGATTTCTTAGAAAAACTAAAAGGAACAATTCCAAAAAGAATGAAAGCTGCAATAAAAGGCAAACGGTGGACACACTAAATACTGAAAAAATTATGATATAAACGGTTGTTGTGGCTTCAATGTAATTTTCTGTTAAATATATGTTTTCTGCTTTTTCTTCCTTGTGCCCAATGTCCATTCTGATGGGACGTTACATAAATAAAGGTAGCCTGAATTTTGCACAGTACTGTAACAAAAATTTCAACACTATTTATATATCTATAATACTATATAGGCTAAGACGGTTGCCAGGTTCCTGAACTGATACTCCGATGGGATAGGAGCAGGTGTGAGAAACATAGCAGTTCTTACCTGCGATGGCCTGGACCCCAACACGCAGGAAGCCTCGCACCTCCCCTTTCTCTGTCACTATAGCGACGCGGTGCACCAGAGGCACAGAGTACAGCAGGTTACTCAGGTACACGAAAGCTCTGGAGAAAGAGTGCTGATTATTATAATGTACTGAGGAACATGCATACACATATAGATCTGACATTGATACATTAGTATGGACATATATGAGCTGATTTTAACAGAGCTAGACAGTCAATTTGAACTCCATTCACCTGATTAACTTCAACACTTTCATTAGAACAGTTATTTACTACCTGCTGTGAACACACTGAGAATTTATATCTTTTACTTTTAAGGCTCATGAGTCATCTCCATGCGTTGTGCTATTTGGCAAATCATCCAAGAAAAAAAAAGAAAAGAAAAAAAAAAAGAAAGAGACAAAAATGTTTACTAAAGAAGACAGAAGATTCAGTCTGCTGCAGAATGGGCTCCCTCCAAATCAAAGTGCTGTTTTGTATGATAATTTGCTCCCTTGCAGCTCCTCCCCCCACAGAGTGACAAGAGGCTAAGATGGGAGAAAGCTTTCACTCCAGAGCATCTGTGAGGTCACAGTGACGCAGGTGCATTAATGACAGGACAACATGCTCACTCCACTGTCCCTGCATTGATCCACACACCCAGCCTTTCTGCTGCTTTCTCTCTCCGTCCCTCCCTCCCTCTCTCTCCCACAGCAGACTGAAACAGCTTTTAACACAACTACAAAATGACAAAGAAATAAATCCAAGCAAAATGAGTGCTTAAAACAGACAACACAAATATTAAACAAAATTTTAATAATACACAACTACATGAGCACTTAGTGACAGCTGTTAATGCAGTCTATGCTTTGATGGTGTGAGGTGACACAGGCTCTGAGCACAGAGAGAGGGAGAGGAGACAGCAGACTCTGCACTCCACTTGACCTCTATTGGAGCTATTTTCCTCTCATTAGGACTCGAGTCAAGAAGCAATGTGACCTGATTGTAAGCTTCATAAAATGTCTTATTCATCTGAACCCTCAGAAGCTGCCGTTATCAATAGCAATAAAAAAAGGTTTGTTGTAATTTCGCATTAAGGAGATTTACTCCTCACTCTTTGAAAGAAGAGGAGAAATACTATTGAAATGTGGATTCTAGACATACAATTATAAATGTATTACAATATTATACATTGTATGATGTTACAATGTAATACTTGGTTCTTTAATTACAATGTGATTAAAACCGGAAGGAGAGGTCATTTATAAATACAGGCTACACTCAGCTGAAGATGACTTCTGAACGAACATGTCACACTCCTAGGTTTACAGCAGTCGTCTGTCTCTTTTCTCTCCATCTCTCCGAGTCTCCCCCAAACACCAACCTGCCCACAAGAGTGAACCAGGGAGAGCGGTCATAGAAGGGGTCCTGGCCATCGCTGAAGATGTCCGAGCCCTCCTCGGTGCCAGCGTCCGAGCTGGTGTCATCCACAAAGGCTTCTTCATCCATGAAATCCTCCATCTCACTCTGCCGCTCATCAGCCAGCTCTGTGACATCCGAGTCGGCCGTGGAGAAGGTAGGTGAGGGCGTGCGGTCAGCCAGGTGCTCGTTCACACATCCGTGGAAGATAGGTGAGCTATATAAGGGTAGGGGACCAAAAGGAGGGGGACCAGCATGGGCCGAAGAGTTAGCAAGGTGGTCTTGGACTACAGCAGAAGCCGTCCCAGGACAGGTTCACGTCTTACAATAGAGTGTGAGGTATTTACTGTGAAGGTACTAGCAATTACTGTTAGAAAAGAAAATTAAGATTTAAAGGGTAATTTTCAAAACAAATTTCTGTATAATAATAGGTTAACAACGGGATAAGTCACCTATGGTGGTATGATGTATAATGCTCCATTCTAAAGAAACTTACCAAGTCAGAATTGTTCACAGTGCTGATGACTGGAACCAGACGTGTACAGTATTTAATACCTCTACAAGCTACCTAACAGAAGCTTATTCTATGCAATAGTTATAAACACTGTCTTATGTCTGAAATAGTGTTTTATGATAGTTTTGTGTTAAGGTTTATGACGTAAAACATATTTTCACAAATTCATTAATTGAGGAGAGGTTTCATTGTAAGAGCACTGTGAGGCAATATAGTGCATAAGGAAAACATATTTTATCAACTATTTTACCTTAATTAATATTACATATAAAAACTCAGAAGACATGTAGGTTTACTGGTAGTTTTTGGATAGTAAATAAAATGGCTACATTTGTGTAGTAGACACTGTAACCTCTAGTCCCAATTACCACCACTGGAAAAAAAGGAATAAAAAATTCTCTACAAATTTCTACGTATAATCAAATAAATTTTGAAAAAATTGGTGGAATTCCCTGTTAAGACTTCCTCAAGAAGATGACAGAGTTGTCACAAAACTAACATATTTAGACATATATAGCTGCCTACCAAAACCAGGAAATTATCATGAAATGATTACAGGATTGAAGTTATACAGCAAAAAACTGATTTTCATCAAAATAAATACAGAACAAAATGAAGGAACTTAGTAAAAATGAATTATAACTAACAATGGGAAAACAATTGAGGACAAAGTCCAAAATAAAGATTTTGGCAAATAAAATGCAGAAAATAAATATGAAAATATTAATATGAAATATGAAAATGATAAGATGAAAAACAGCCTTACAGAAAACATAATGTGGAACAAAAAATAAATTAAAGGAAAACAAAGGTGGCACTTTGTGGCAAGAAACAAAAACAAAAAACAAAAAACAAAAACAAAATAAACCCACACAGTGAAGGAAATAATACACAAACCTGAATGACAAATGTACCCTAAATAAAATGATTTCATAAGATCTCAGACCAAATGTATATTAAGATGAATTGTGGTAAAAGGATGTGGAATGTCTCAGCAGTGTGAACTAAATGAATACATCATGAATGATTCATGAGAAATCACCTCCTCCTCCAACACATTCCTACAGAGAGCCTTTCATCAGAGTAATGCAGTAACTCACCCCAACACAGTACCACACCACACACAATCGTCACACATCTCACCCTGAATTTCCCACCAGCACAACAAAACACACACACAATGTACCACTTATTATACAGAAGCTCAAACGTTAACCTAAGAAGCATATTTATTTTATTTTATTTAATTATGTTTTTGATTTTCTAGCAGCTAAGTTTAATATAATAGGAGGATATTTGATAAAGTTCTTTTATTCTTTACCAAAGACTTCATACTTCCATTTCAGGCCTGAAAATCTAATCAAGGTGAATGACGACATACCTTCCAACTAGCTTGAACCAGTGGAAACGGTCATAGAAGGGGTCACTGCCGGTCAGAGGCCCTTCCCCCTCCTCTGGATTGGAGGAGGCCATTTCTCCTGCGCGGTCATACATCTCTCGCATCTGATCCAGTCTCTGCCTGAAAGAGCGAAGAAATACGACCCAGTCATGAATCAGCTACTAAAATGACAGAATAACAAAGGCTATTATGGACATGCTTATTCTAAGAAACAGTGAAGCTTTTCACCCTCCGCTCAGAGCATCACATGTACGTTACATAATCTTTGGGTTCGATTCAGTAGAGCAGTTCCGCTAAAATGGGACTTGCTAGATTTTTGAAAAGCAAATTACTAGGTGTTTTTGAAAGGGTGCGAAATGCCATGTCAAAACTCCACGGGGAAAAGACATCTGTCAACCGTCTGCTTTGAAAGACAAAAGGCCAGTGGTGGTTGGCAGCCTAAAGCTCACTTGAGTTTCTCCAGGGACCAGTAGTGAGTGGCTCCATTCTTCAGGTCTTGGACCTCCACAGCCACCACAGTACGAGGGAAAGGCCTGGAGCTGCGCTCCTTCTCCGGCTCAGAAGGCAGCAGCTCCGGCGGGAGTGGAGAATACAGTGTGTCTGTCAGCAGCACAAACTGGAACTGGACCTTTAAAAGATGTGAGTGTGAGAGAAAAAAAAAAAGCGTAGCCTTAGAGGGCGATTTTTTTTTTGGAGGTTTCGTTTTCAACTGTATTTAGCCTGTCAAGATTAAATTTTAGCAGATGATTATTTGCCATATAAATAATTACTACAAACAATTTAATGTCTTTTTTTGCTCACTGTTTGCTGTTATTATAGTAAAGTGGCCAAATAGGCTGATTACCTAGCTGTTGATACTTAGGAGCTACTAACTGATGACATTAACAGCTTGAGCTCAAATAAACATTACTCACCACTGCCCTCTCAATGTGTTATTATCATTAATGTACAAACATTACTCATTGCTGCCCCCAAACGTGTTATTAATAAACATTAAATAAACAAGCAATACTCACCACTGCCCTCTAAAGGGTGTTACTAATAACCATTAAATAAACAAACATTACTCACTTCTGCCCACTAAAATGTTGTTAGCATGGCTGAAAATTCCCCCCAAAAAGCATGTCGATGTGTGTTGTATGTGCAGAGAACACATTACATGCTGTAAACATACGCATTATCTGTTACAGGTGAAAATAGTTTCTTTAGTTATCAAAATTGTTTTGATAGCTAGCTTGCTTTGCTTGTATAATCAATTTTACTCCAGTCATCAAAAGACAAGACACATGTCAAGCCTCGTGAGGCTAAAAAAAGTTTGTCTATAGAAACATACATTGTAATGTATATAGTGCCACACATGTTGCTTTTACTTGCTCTAATTTGCTTGCTCATTAAATGCTGCTCTTCATGTGGGTCTGCTGAGGCTTTAAATCTCCACACAGACAGACGCTTTAACGTCAAGCCACCACAGCAAGGGTCTTTTAAGGCTATACACCCCACGGGGCTGAGAAAAAGTAAGCACATAAATAACGAAGTGCGAGACGAGTGAGACATGAGGAGCAGGAGCAGAAGCAAATAGAGGAGTCTGCCCTTTTCCCCAGCATTTAAAAGCCGCCTGCAGGAAGCTGACACTTGGATAGTCAGAGAGTAAATCAGCTGAAGCCTGACAGTGGATGGGTCAAACACAACTGAAACAGCCTAGCGCTCACAACCAAATGTGATTTATGTCCCAATCCGTATGCAGACCAGTGTGGCTCATTAAATCAAAGATTGGCTCAACTCAGGTGCTGTGTTTTGCTCATAGGGCTACTTACAATCAATTCAGGAGTCAATAGTGATGAGGCACTGTCATTAACTTTACAGTGTTCTCCAAGCATTCATTTGCATTTTAATTATCAGTCAGGGCAGACAAACTTGTTATTTGCACAGCACTTCTTTTGCTACAAACTTTTTACTTCAAATTATTAAGAGAAATGCTATCAAAATGTTAAATTGCAGAGCACTGTATTCTTATAACTGTCATACTGTTTTCAACACTCAGCTTAGAGGTGGGACCGTTCCAATACTATACCTTCTTCTTGAGCTCCACACTGATGGCATTGGCTTCTTTCAGATACACTGCATTCCCCCATAGCTGGTCTCTTAATGATGTGAACTGATGGTATCTCCACTTCCTGAAGGCCCACTGAGCAAGCTCAAATTCATGCTGCGTCCATGGCACTGCAGCAGGGACAGACAGTAGCTATTTCAGCTACAGACTGCGAAAGAATCTCAGAATTCAAGTGCAGTGCAGTGCAAGAGCTCTCACTAATATCATGAAACATGGACATAATCTTGTCATGAGAGTTATGAGAATATGTTTCTGGTGTGAAATGTACTGGGATGCTAACACTGGTGAACTGGACAGTGAGAAGGGTGACTACCTTCGTCCTCTTCTTCCTCCTCTTCCTCTTCATCAGGAGTTTCTGCTATCAGTGAGCGAGTCTCCACTTGTTTCTGCAGTTCCTGAAGCTTGCTCTCGTAGACCTGAGGAACAGGACGTGGTGGGGAGAGGGGACAGCAGACAGGGCCCATCAACACGATGCTAATGGAGCTGCAGGAGCTGAGACCTCCAGACCAGCCCACAAACCCACCTGAACCTTTTTACTCTTTTCAGTGGCAGGTGTGGAGAGCCTGCTTTCCAATTGGACATGCAAACCATTTGATATGTTACAAAATGAAGAACAGAGTGAATCTTTTCCTCAAGTCAGACATGGTAAGAGCTAAGATAATTAGGCCTGCAACAGAGTAAAGTTGTTTATTTAAAATCATCCTAAAGTCAAAATTGACCTTTTTCTTTCTTTTTTTAACTTGTAGGGATGTAACAATATATCATATTGTATTGCACTGAATTGTAACACAGCATATTGTATTGTACCATGACAAGCACGTTAGCCTGTGGCTAATGTGTTACCTTGGGGACAACATATCAGCCTGTGGCTAGAGCATTAGATTGGGACATTATAAAGCATAGGTTTTGATCAAAATGTTGTACTTTTATCATATTGAATGCTCTGAAAATAAACTGAAAATATAAGCATTAACCTTATGCTGTATTGCAAAATGAGAGGATGAAATGAGGCACCACTGTCTTGTTTTAAATCAAATTATGATTTTTTTATGAATCATTACTCTTCTATTACTTTGTTCGCTCAAGTCCCTGGTCATGTTAAATATGCTTTAATTATCATATAATTTAAAAGACAAAATTATTGTTTTCCCAGCCAGCTCAGAGACCCTCCCTGATACTGTGTTTGAATTACAAATACATCACTGTAAAGAAGCAAAATTATAATTTCCTATTCACATTGACTTAAAACTGTTCCTGTTCATATAAGACACGGCAATTCTGCTTTGCACTGCAGTGCACTACTGAAAGCAATTAAAGCAATACTGCTTTTACACCTTTTAAAAATCCCTTTTAACACAGTCAGAACCTTTCCTGGTGATAGTAGCAAAGAGAGAAGAACTTGGGAAGGCATAACAATTAGATCAGTTGCTTAAAAGAATAACAGCCATTAGATTATAGAAATAATCATTAGTTGCATTCCTAACAGTTGTGTTATCATCCTAGTACTTACTGTGTTGTGTTCATCCCAGCACCAATTCTGTACTCTAATATAATCTACAAGAAGGCTTCCAGTGAAGACTAACTGAACGTTACTAATACATTAATCATTATAAGGACTAGTGAGAGGGCTTGTGGTCATAAAATCTAATGAACCTTGTGTCAGAATATGTGTGGCTGTATTTCTTTATCCTAAAACACACTTCTACCAACCCGCTCAACATAAACATGTTAATTACCCTCTAAGCGCTCTCTATAGACTCACCTCAAATGAAAAGACTTTTTTAAAAGTTAAATTAAAAGCATTTTTAACAAACAAATAACTGCAGTTGTGCATACAGATCTGCCCCATTTCTTTTTGCCTTTAATAAAGGCTGGCTTAGGAGAAAAGGCCAGGGGTAGAGCTGCGCTACAGATGGCCCGCTGCTTGTGAGTCATCACACATGTAGCTATCGCCAATGAGCTCATCAGATTTGTTCCACTGCTCAGAGAACAGAGCAGTCTTTCTCTCTCTCTCGCTCACTGTTTTTATTTGCTCTAGCCCTTCTTCACTGAGTTTTACATTCTGATTCAAGGAGAACTAGAAGATATCTGCTTAACTGACCAACAGGATTACCTGAAATACAGGGCAACCATGAGCTGTGCCTTTTACTCTTTCTTTTAAAACTGGGGGTTGAGCCTTTAATGTACATGGGGTAATAATATTCCAAATGCATGAGTATGTGAAACAAGTCTAAAAACAGAATATTCAGTGGCTGCTTAATCACTAACTAAAGAGCAGTGGATACTAGGGACTAGTAGATTATTTCTTGTCTGTAAAAAAGCTGCTGAGAAAACTCAGAGGCAACAAGGCAACATAACGCATCGAGATTTGTGAGCTGCTTTTGTAGTAATTGTTACTAAGGTTAATGTTAAACCAACTTAAATTTGTTAGGCTGCTATTAAAAATTAACATTTTTTAAATGAGGAAATTTAGCCTACATTACATTCACAGCATTTGACCGACACTCTTACCCAGAGTGGCTACTGGATTCTTGGCCCTTTCTCAAGTGAGGAATCAAACTCCACTTTGATGGGTGGAGGGTGTTACCCACTACACCATACTAACTGTAATCTAAAGACAAGAGGGGTGAAGCAACCATTGTCATTTTCACTGAACGTGCACCAAAAGGCAATTAATAACTAACTGGAGAATTTAGATAACTTTTAGAAACTGTATGTGTGCGTATGCTATTCAGCGGACCTCCTGGCAGTGCAAAGTATTTTTAAATAATGTTTGACACACAGGTTTGACTCCCCATTCAGGCAAACACCTCATTCTTGACTCACGCCACACCAGTAAGTGTCCTTGGAAAAGACTCCTGATGTGACATTAGGTTACTTCGGTAACTTGATTAGACTAAAGTCTTTCAAGCTTTAAACTTTTCTAATTTTACTTGAAGTACTTGACACACGTGGATCTAAACACGCCCACACTTTTAAAACACTATACTACATGACTGTCACAACAAAATAAATAAAGAAAAATAGTAAATTAAACAACTTAAAATATAAGAACTGTATTTCTATTATATGTACTTGTTTTGTTCTTGTGCTAAAGTTAGGCTACTCGTGGCTACTGTTATCACATGACCTGCGCTTTATGTTAGATATTGCTATGAGTAATTATGTGATATTTAAGCTCGATCTGTCAGAGAATCTCGTTAGATTCTTTTTTTTTAACCTCTGATATCATAATGAAGCATTTCCTGCTGCTAACATCCTATATTGATATTGTGTATTGGATTGGTGCCCTTTCCAGTACTTGGCAAGGGAATTATTTACCAAAAGTGTACCAATTACTCACATGTTATCTTGATATCTTAACATGTGAACAAACCAGCATCTAGAGTCAGTGTAATATTACGCTACAATAACAAAATGTTGTTGCAAGACCGTCCACTGAACGTACAGTCAGACATTTTGCCTTTATTATTTCAGTCAACATTTGAAATTTGATATTAACCACAATGGGACATGGCTATCCTGAATAAACCAGCAAAATCATGTGAACATCATTGTTCATAGTTTCCACAAAATGCTGATTTATGTTCCCCACCCCCCAAAAAAAACCAAAAAAACAACATATTACACAGCCATTTGGAGGCACTTAATATCACCATTGCATATAAACACTGAACAGATATCAGACCGTTCATATTTAAAAACAATATACATTGTCCATTTCAATTTGTACAATGTCCTCGGCTTTCCTTGTTATAGCTGGAGTTGCTGTCAGCACCGTACATATTCTAAGTAACATTCCTTATTGGAGGAGAGGAACTATATGCTTTTGATAGTCATTTAAAATAAGCTACAAGGCCTTACTGATAAGCGATAGATCCATTGTAGCAAGTTTCAAGCAATTTCCATTTTTTATGCTACACCGGAAGATAATAAAGGAAGAGCATTGTAGCAATATAATTAGGTTTCTTTTTCTCATTTCCTAATTTCCGGAGCTCAGTTAAAGATCAACCAAGCTCTTGTAGTTCTATAAGGCATTCACATAGAAATAAGGCCTTTTTCTGCTGGCACACAGAAAACATTCAAGCTCTACAGTAAAATCAGGTGAAATTCTGATCTATTTCTCTTTCACCAGGCTTCAGTCACACATGAGGACTTACTGAGCCAATTCAGAACATCTGATCTGGTAACAAACATGTGCGCTACTGCAAATGAAGCAAACACACAAACACAATTATATCAAGGCAGGAAAAACAGTGGCCTGGTGCTTAGAGTGAACATTGCCATCATATAAAATGTGATCCTGCTCAATGAAGATGTTACTGGAGACTATGTACCAACAGTGAGAAATTTGTCAACTGAGTTGTGCTACTAATGGCATTACATAGACAAACTGATGACAAATGGAGGTAAAATAGAAATATGAAACTCTGACTGAGCACTGATAAAGAGCATGCTGCACTGTTCCTGCAATTCTGATATTTCTTTCAAAGCTTTTCAAAAAATATGCATAGACTCCTTCACTATTGCTCTAGTTCTCCTTTGTATGTTTAAAATGAGCCCCAGAAAACCATGGCAATGGCCCTGTCAGAGAGGTCGTGTTTTCTGGGTTCACTGTGCACATATTTGGGCCACCAGAAAATAAATGTGATTCTAATCATGCAGAGTTTGTGTCTAGAGATGAGCAAAGGATTCTATTTCTATGCATAGAAGAGCGGAGCGTTCTCGAACGCTGCCTCCATCCCCGTGGGAACAGAATGCCCCCTGCATTGAGGTTCAGAGTGCAGCAGACAACCGAGAGGAACAATAGAAGCAAAGCGCACAGCGAAGCAGACTCCAATTTGCCGTGCAGCGTTTCTCTGAAAACACTGTTAAATTGTCTTTTTGAACAAGCATGCGTAACTAACTCACTGCAGGAAAGAACGACACATTATCTAAAGATTGCTATTAATTTAGGAAAAACAATTCAGCCTAAAGAACATGGAAAGCAACAAATATATTTGTTTGGGTGCGATTAAAAACAACTGTATTTCTGCCTAAATGCTACAGTATCTCTGACAAATACAAATATATTTTTTTCATAATAGCAGAAAATAGGCAAAAGCAGAAATAAATCTTTGAGTGCTTTGACATATGGGTGACCCAATAAGGCACATCTTTCAAAATACTTGACCCCTTTACATAAGGCATTCAGAAACCATGAGGCCTTCAAAAACAAAGGCCTTTTTAAATCCACAGTACATTCAAATTCTATCTTCAGTTAAAAAAATGAACTGAAATGTAAGAGGACCCATAAAGTATTTTAATTAAAATACTAAATCAGACTAACATTAGCTGCATTTCTGGAACTCTAGTTCATGGGGTAACACATTCAGGTAGAGACATTTACTATTGAACCTAGTTATTCCAGCATTCTTTGAATGTTTCAGTTGCATATCTTCAACACAAATATGAATAAAATGTAGATGTAGTGCTACTTCAATTGAAAATTCAAGTAATGACCCCATGTTTGGGTCTACTATTATCATAGGCTAAACTGCATGTAGTGGTGGTTGAGTAGTGGTTATTTAGGATTCCAAATATAATGGGAAAAGCAGCATAAGTTTTAGTTCAAATCCTGCTGAGGCTAAAATACTGAAGACACTTCAGAAACATGAAAGGGATTTTGAAAAACTGAGCAAATTTGAAAACCTGCTGACTTTTGGCATAATTTTCAGGAAGCCATCAACAATCGATGACCAACACACAGATTGACTAACCAACAAAATAAATGCTTGTTGTACTACAAATATTCTAAAGTCCAGTGTGGCATGGAAACCTTCAAGCAGCCCTCCTGATGCTACAGATGCAACCAGTGCAGCACAGCTGATATCTACAAGGGATCAAGGATAAATCTGTAAAAACATTAATGACTAAAATATTTTGCTGGACAAACGGCTGTAATTTAGAGAAACAAATTAAAGGAAAATATTGTTCAATTTATCTGGCTCAAAAAGCCAGACTTCTGGCAGTTTGACTCAATGAGGACAAGCTGTCCAATGCTGTGATTTTTCTCTGTAAGCCTCTGTGGTGTGAACATAGTGCTATATACTTCAGTACATAAAAGTACGACTTGCTCGCATCCCATTCACACTGCTGTTTCCCGTCCAGCCTTCAAATTAGGGGCTGACATTTGTCTACGCATGCGGGGTGGTGTGTGAAAGTTGTTGTGGTGGCTAGGCTGCTGGGTGTGAGCGTACTGCTGCTGGTAGTTGTAGCTGCTGTCATTGCTGTAGAGATAGGGCTGTGAAAGCTGCTGTTGATGGTGATGAGGATAAGGATGAGGCTGATTTTGGTTGTAGCGTGGCTGGTAAAAAGCCTGCTGTGGAGGTTGCTGCTTCCTGTCCCCAAAGTGCAGGGACTCCATGGACCCGGATGCCCGCTGGCTGCTGTTGAAGGAGTTGCTGCGGCCTCTCTCATGGGGCTGTTGGCTCCTGTGGCCTTGGTTAGGTCTATGGCTCAAGCCTTGTTCCAGGTCTTTGCTTTTCCGCTGCCCTGATGGGCTAGGAAGAGGAGGGTGGGAATGAATAGAAGGCCCTGCCCTTTCTTTGGGGTCGCCTCCCTCCTCCGTCCCATCCTCCTCCTGCACTGCCTCTTTGGGAACCTTTAACTCGATCACTTGCTCATCAGTGATTATGATGTGCGTGCCAGGGCTCCAAGAGTTGCGGTGCTTGGGGTTACTTTTGAAAGGAAAGCGCAGCTTGCGGTCCTCCGGGGGAATGAAGCGGTGTGGGCCGTTCTGCCTGCGGAGCTGCTTAGAGATCTCCTGCTGCTGGAGGTTCTTCAGCCGTACTTGCTCCTGCCGCATCCAGCGCATGCGACCACGCCGAAACGAAGAATCGTCGCCCGTCAGGCTGGACATTTGATCATCTGCTTGATCGCTTTCAGGCCTGTCTTCAGACGAAGCCTTGCCTTCGCTGGAGCTGCGGGCCCTCATTGCTCCACTTGGATTGGTCTTCTCTTGGCCCTCGGTGGAGATCAGAGGCAAAACCTTCTCCATCTTCAGCATCTTGTTCCTGAGAGCCCGGATCTCTTCATCCTTCATGTTGTTCTGCTTCTTGACCTCTTCCAGGATGTCCTCCAGCTTGTCTATGTGCACTTTCAGATCATCCATGTCATTCACGCCTCGGCCATTTGTTATGACATCTTCAATACGCTCATCCCCGACCCCCACCGTGTCCCAGACATCACGAGCGACGGCTCGCCAGGAGTCTCGCTCATTAGGGTCTTTCTTGTTGTACGTGGCACACAACTCCTTCATTTTCACAATTGCCAAGGCCTCAATCTCCTGGCGACTGTGGCGAAAATCATTCAGTGCCACCTCATAGCAGATCTCCTTGACTGCCTGGATCTTCAAATCCGAGATGGTCACCCACTTGGAGTCCTTGGTGAGGCGTCGGCGCTGAGGGATCTGGTACATTTTTATAGGCTCTCTTCGTTTGCCACTGCTGGGTAAGCCACACTTTTTGACTATGGCTTGCAGTTTACTGGGAGGCAGCTTCTCCCGCAGGGAGGTGATGAGTCTCCAGCTCTCTTCACATGACCTTTTATCAGAGTCATCGCCACTATCAGAGTCTCCATCCTTGAAAGAACAAAACAAGAAACAAAACCAAAAAAGTGCGGAACAAAATGAAAAAATTAAAATGAGAAGCTCAAATCAAAAGGAATGTTTTCTGTAAAGAATGGACACGAATGATGATATGCAAAATGAGAACTTCAACAGCTGGAGGATTTATTGAAAAGGGGCTCAGTGTTATAGAGGCAAACTACTTAGCCCAGATTTATGCAAAGGGAAGGTTGCTCTTGAAACCTTGTTAATCCCACCATCAACTATTGTCTTAACTTTGAACATCTCTTTGAAATTGGAATGAAGTATCACATTTGGTTTATACAAACTAAATTGTGTACTTTTCCCCTAAAGCTAGGGCAGCCATGAACTGAAACATGCACAGCAGAACAGTGAATAAGGTATTCAATTATTCTCCAGATGTTTGCTGTATTGAACGTGAACAAATTACCAAAAAATAATCTTTCAGAGGTTTAACAAGATACTAAAGAATAAAGGTAAACACAGTTCCCAAGTTGCATATCAATATTGAAAGTAATCATGATATGAGCAAATGTCAACAAAAAGGGGACAGATGTTGCTCTGGTTGACTTCTATTCATTTTAAAAGACTGATCATCTCCTCTTCATTTTGTGCATTTGAAAGTTGCACCCAAAACATGCTTCAGAGACATGCAGCAAAAGCCAGTGGAGTTTTAGAGTTTTCTCCATTTGAAGTTCCTTGATGAAGCTTGGATATTGGAGTTGATAATAGCTCTAGCAGTGGGTTAGAAGACTCTTGCGTGTTTATTACGGGTCAGTAAAAAGAGAAAAAGAGAGGAAGGACAGGCTGAAAAGAAGTTAAAAGCATCGATTTCATCCACTACAGTTAAGAAGTTAGTTGAGAGAAAATGCAGTTTCTCATTTTCCGGGTCAAGTATGCAGAGTACAGTACAAATCGTAGCCAGATAGCGAAGATGCTAACAGGAGACAGGTGGTGACTTGTTATGAGTGCAGTATGTCTTGTTTGAAGTGTCATGTTGTGGTGATGTGATTCTTTTGATGAGACCACCAGAGCATTGGAGCGCTTGTCATCATTGATTAGGACCCCCAGCACAGATAACTGTGTTCAAGCATGCCCTTTGTGTCTGGTCAGACAAGTGTATATAACTCTACAGAAGTCAATGAGAAACCACATTGTCACTAGCCTTCATCAACTACAGCAGAAATCTTGGGTTATTATCACAATGCATTGGAGATATCAGCAACTGCATTGAAGAGCCAACAAACTCAAACAGAAACAAACAGAAATCTACTGGAGCAAATCAAAAGCCGACTCAGGGTTGACCAGCTCAACAACACTGTTCAGCAACAAATACTAACGTCAGGCTCTACGTCTTATAAATAAAACTGTACTGTTAAGAGAACATGCTACTAAAAACAGACCATGCAAAGGCAGCAACAGAATTAAAGCACATGATATATACAATTTAGGCAAAAATTTAAGCAACACTGAATGGCTGATTTTTTTTTTTTGTTTAACAAAACCATGGTTGCCAATACACACAAATAAAAAGCATGGTTCTGATCTGACCACTCTAAATTCTGCTTCTCTCTTTAAAATGCTAATCATTTGTATTTTCCTGGTGCTATTATCCAAGATTCAGTTCTTCAAATCTACGCAAGAGAAACAAGAATTCTATTGGAAAACCTTGAGGAACTGTAATTTTCACTATATCAAATGGGTATTGCAATTCAGTCCATGACAGGGAGGGAGGGGTAAATTAATTGCCTCCTGCCTCTCCCCTCCTCAATAAAGACAGAGTGGATTTCATTTCCATGCAAAGAGGTTCAGCCATGCACTGGGAGAAGTGTTTCTCTCACACACGGGCACACACACAAAGGTCTCAAGGTGTCAGAGCTAAGAGTGCAGAATTAGTGCTGGTTGGACTTTGGCAGAGCAAAAGGGAAACTAGGGCCAGTTAGGACCAATCAACTAACATTCTCAACACTAAAAGAATTCTTAATGAACAATATATAACAGCACATCTCTCCCCTCAAACAAACCACAATATTATTTCATTGGCTGTCCTCAAAACAGAAAAACAACGAACAATTCAAAAGGATGCCCATGGCACAACTGAATAGTTCCAAAGGGAGTAAATCTCTAAATCTCTAAAATAGACAGAGCAAATAGAATCAGTCTTACCAGTCTCTGTTGCTCAAGCAGTTGATCTGCCTCCTCCTTCTCTTTTTTATAGAGGATCTCCATCTCAGTAAGCCTACATATAATACAGTGTAGGACACATGCATAAGAGATCTGTTCTGAGCTTATTTTTCCTATTCACAATATAATCCCCTTCAGAATAATCCAATTCATGTGTGCGCAAAAAACCACACTCCATAACAGAGCTTATAAAAAACAGAACATAGACTTTGCCTTCAGTAGAGTGGATTTTATGATACAAATGCACAGTGGCTTCCACAGTGGTTAACTTTCTACCCCCAAGTTAACATTAAATCGGTCCTTTGCTTCCTGCCCTAAAACCCAAAGTTACCTCTTCTCCATCTCCTGCTTCATGTCAATGCCCTGCTTCTCCAGCAGCTCTCTCTGGGCAAAGGTCCAGTCTACAGGTTCCACAGGGGTCTCGGCTGATGGAGTCTTTTCTCGTTCAGCACGTGCCTGCTCAGGGTGGTTAAAGCGGAATACGTGGTTCTTTCCCATGATGATACGGTTACCTGTGGTAAGAACATAAAGACAACGCTGCCTTTAGGTTTCTAGGTCAACACTCCTGCCCTTCATCTCTCTGTGTCAAAAGGAAAAGTTGGCAATTGCAGTTGATTGGTGTTGTCTGAAGTGGAGCCAGTGGCCAGGGAGACTCACCTGAGCGCAACTGGACTGCAGCAGTTACACGCTTGCCATTCACGTATGTCTCTGATCCCTCACATGGTACAAGCATTACAATCACTGCAAGTCAAGCAGAGAGCCAGTCAGTCTCAACAGCTTACATTCAATTACTTCACATTTCAATTAAAATGATCTGCACTTCCTGAGGTTTCTGAGTTTCTCTTTGCTTAACTCTTAGAAGTCAGAGTCAGCATTGTTGATAATAAGTTAACTTAATGAATATTTATCATTTATTGACATTGAATTATATTTAAGAAGTCTGAAATGCACAAACCTGTCTAATAAAACAAAATAAAAAATAAATAAATAAAAGTACTGTGCAAACTTCTTAGGTACTTAAAAAATTTATGCTTAAAAGGTTATTTGTCTGATCCGTAAGCATTCATTTACCCATAAATGCAAAGAATACTAACATAGGTTATAATTTTATGTAAGTTAATGTGTTTGTGTAAACATTTCCAGACCTCTCCTCATGGCAGCCCAGTATTACTTGCAGTTATGTTCCAATACCTGGTTTGTCTAATCAATAGTTTATGTTAAATCAGGTGTGGTGGTGATGGAATTTAACAAATCTATGCAGTTGCTGGGGGTTTTCAGGAGAACCAATCTCCGCTAGATATCGACTACTTTGAAAAAGAAAGGTTATGTTTATTTGTGTCTCCATTCTAACAATATATAGTTTTCTATTATGCACAGTATTTCACAGTATTAAGTATTGAATATAATTCAATGCTGTCTGTGTAATTAATCTTGAAAAACAAAAATCTAAACTCTTAAATTCTCAAAGTTAAAATATAATTAAATAAAAAAAATGTATTTGCATAAATTGTAACAATTCAGTGAGCAAAAAGAGAAAAGCGATTCACTGACATAGAAGCCATTGGCTATCCAGATCTTGATTAAGACTGTTCAAGAAACCCCTTCACTGTGCATGCAAAACAAACAGACTGTGTGGTTTCAGTATATCCTCACCATCCCCATTGGCGTTCCTTTCGCTGCGGAAGACACAGTGCTCCTCTTTGATGTGCGCTCCACTCAAAACTATATCTTGCCTTCTCTCTGCATCTGCCTGACCCACCCTGTCAACACAAGGGCAGAATCAAGCACCAACGCCTAGCCTAAAGGGACAGTTGCACTGCTGACCTGCAGCAGCGTGGATCCAGCTGCTCAATCTCCACCCTGAGAGTCTTAATATGAAAAATGCAGCAGTGTCCTTCACCAACCCTATGAAACCCAATAAATCCACAGGGCAGGACTGAACTTTATCTTGTGATCAAAGGGTGAAAATGTCTGTCCTGTTTGGACCTTTTTCTTCACTTAAGTGATGGTAGAAAGCGAGAAGCAGAAGGTGTCTGAAAGTAGCACAGGCTAAGACACCGCTAAGGGGCATAGGGAATGTTTTCATACCTTGTGATTCCGTCTTTGATGTAGTAGAGCAGACATTCCGACATGAGTGGGTCCTCGTTCAGGTTAACCAGGTGAGGGGTCTGTGGAGATTTAGACAGGAACTGTGATGAATCTAGTCAAAAGTGTCAGTCACAACTTAAGGACCCACAGCGTGTGCAAAGCAGGATCTAAAGCTATACTACAGATAGCTTTAAAAGGGTATTCACAACAGTGGAGGGCTGCAAGATAGTGGCTAAAAAGATGATCATGATTATTTTGCTCAATACTAAAATCACGATTATTGCTCAACACTGAAATCCGGTCATGTGCTACTTCAATACTTCATATGTGCATTGTATGTATTGTTGTTTTGTTGTCCTGTCTAGTTAGCATCATGTGTATTTATTGTCCTATGTTGTCTGGTGTATTTATTGTATATTCTACACTCGTTTCATATGGTCACATATATGCAATTTATGTAGTCCTGTATAATGCGCTCCTGTGTCATGCTGCAACATGGGGCCTGAAAAATTTCTTTTGTTCCACTATATACGAGCTTAAGAAAAGACAACAGGCTACTTGTTTTGACGTACCATCATTACTTAGCTAATTTAGGAACAAACTAGTTTTGCTGTACTTTTTGTAAACAATTTTTAAAACATGTTTGTCTTTCCTGTTGCACATAATATGCCTATATTCCCTCAAGTATTGAAATCTTTCAATCATAATAAAACTGCTCCTTAATAACCTTGACAGATTTTTTTTAAATGCTGAATTGAAACAAAATTAAATAATTAAAAATTAATAAAATAATAAAAAATAATTTAGGGATACGCCAATATGGGAATTCTTGGCATATGCCAATATTCAATATTTTTGCCAATGCCAATACATAGAAGCATTTATAAAATATAATAATTGAGATTACATCTACCTGGATTAGCATTGCAGAAAAATGCAACATTTATTTCTAAAAGATTACAAATGTTTTAAAAAAAAAATGCAGATATATTAGAGCAGTATCCCAGCACTGACTAAACATTCTGCTTTTCTGGAGTAAAATAAAAATAAAACGAAATAAAATATTAGTATCTGTATCAGATATCAGTATCTGATATCTGATATTGTATCTGTATCTGACATCTGTTACACTGATTTTTTGCTGATACAGATATGATTCTAATATCATTATGGATCCATAAAATAATTAAAATATGCCACTACAGTATGACACCAAATAGAAAGCATCAATGTACCAGAGTCAAATGACTATCAAATCTAGCTAAACTCACCAGTACTGCAAACAATCATGTTTAATTGAGGAAAAACTGTGATCATGATAATGAATAAATAATTGCACAGACCTACATCAAGAATTATAGAAAGCATTTCTACCTTGAGAGTCTACTGCACAAACACAGATCTAGATCTAAAATCAGTTCCCCCTTTTTTTTTAGTTCTAAACCAGTTACCTTTTTTGGGGAAAACACCCCATTAAAGTCTGTGTAGAGATCACAAGGCCGTTCAACGAAAAGCTATTCAACAGGCAGCATCACAATGAAGAGAGGCAATGAAAAAAAACACAGCGAGTTAAAAAAAAAACAAAAACAAAAAAAAACAACAGCAAATAAACACACCAGCAAAATAAAGAGCCAATCTAACACATTAATAGCAGAGGGGTTTAAACTGATGACACAGGCTGTTCTAGGGTCACCCTGATTATGTTGATGAGAAGCAGGGAGAAAGAAGAGCACAGATAACGAGCAAATTAGTGAATTAATTGTAAGTGGTGAGTTTGGTGTTTATTAAGCAGTGCTCAGTGACGCACACGGAGCTGACGTCTCCCTGAGGGAGAGCAGACACTCTCAGCTACTGTCAAAGACTCATCGCGCTCTCTCTCTCTCTCACTCTCTCTCTCTCTCCCCCCTTCATCTCTATTCTTTCCTTTCAGTCAGGTCTTTCACCCCTTTTGTTGTTCACTCTGAGTCAGCCCAAGGAGTCAAACACAAAGAACCAGCTTTTGGCAGATGAAGAGTGAGACAGTATAAAAAGCGTTGGTCATGACAATCATCTAGTAACGCTAATCACTATAGCAAGGGCTTCATTCAGATTCAGCTAAATCACAAACAGTGCGAATAGAAAACTATTCAAAACTAGTCAATACACATTAATTTTGGACATTTTCATATACAGTTTCAATAAACACATCACAGCTGAACTAGTCAAATATCTTAGATGACCTCAACATATTTACAATGCATGTATAATGTATTTATACATGCACAACCAACGGCTCTAAAATAATAGTTATCCACAATTGCTCAGGACCTGACTCAATTAAGATAAATAAAACAGTACAAACAAATCTATTCTTTAAAAAAATGCAGGTACAGAATCTGTGGTACAGCTCTACTGGTAAAGACAGATCAGGAAAAAAAAGCAGTTCTAATTAATTAAGGGGAACTACTCAGCTCAAAAATACAAACCTGGTTAGAAGAAAAAACACTAAAATCTTCAACGGACAAAGAAGTTGGTCTGTCATGACCAAACTACATAAATCCACAGTGTCAGGCAAGCAAAACACAAAAGCAAAGACAGGGAAATTAAAGTGACAAATGAACCAAACGATGAATGACAAAAAAGTGCAAGCTTTGAAAAGGAGCCCAGCAGAAGCATGAATAAACCGAAAGGAGGCAATGAACACGCGTTTTCTGTGAGCTGCTTCAACAGAAGGTGACAACAGCCTCTTGAACTTCACAGATGTTGTACCTTTTTAGGAGAGAAGACACCAAGGGTTCCCCCGTCCTCCCGGATGGCGACACCCATCTCTGCCAACAGAGCCTCTCTGAAGGAAACAAAAGAATATCCAGAAGCACACCAGTTAAAATTCTTCACACATGCAGCTCGTGTTGAAATGCGCAAACCACCTTTTCTATACAATAAATACTAACCGTGAATAACTGTCTAATACTTCAGACATTCAACCAAGTAAATCTGAGATATACACTTAAAATACAGTACTGTGCAAAAGTCAGAGACCATTCATTTATTTAATCTGTAGTCAAAATGGCCATTGAATTCACAATTTTTTCAAGTTTTTCATTTCTCAACATCAGAGAAAATCAGAAAACAAAAACATATTTAACAAAATTACACAGAACAACTAAACAGAGCTTTACTTCTTTTCGGGAGATGTAGTTTTTAAAAAAAATCTGCACAGATATTTTTTCCACACCTTCAAAGTTTAGTCTTAGACGCTGGTTGCATTTTATGCTTCTCACAATTCAAGTATTCACAAACATATTCAGTGATGTTGAGGGTTTGACTTCTGGTTTTCTCAAATTTTCTTTCCTTTCCTCAGTCATGGCTGACAGCTACACATCCTTTCAGAGCCAAAGGGTTGAGTTGTCTTCTCACAGCAGAAGGATGGACAGAAACACCTGTGGATTTTTTTTTTTCAGATCTGAAGCAAGAGCAGAGCTTGATTTTCTCCTCTCTCTCTCAAATATGAAAGCTTTACATAGTGTTTACCTAATTGTGACAGTTTTGATGGTCTACAACATCTTGCACGATAGCTACGAGCTGAATTTTCTATATACCCTTAAAGTCATTTTTTTAACTTCAGTTTTGGAAACATCTCCTTCCTTCTGCAAATGAATTTTCTTACATCTAATCTCTGCAAGAATATCTCCTGTAAAATGAATAAGTACTTCATGGCTGTTTTGACTGAAAATGAAATAAATGAAGGGTGGTCTCTGACTTTTCAACAGTATTCTACATGCCAGTGCAATGCAACCTGTACCAAGGAACGAGCAGTAATGCTAAATTAAAAAAAAAAAAAAATACAAATTAAATGCTAATTCTAGCATTTAACATTTTGGCTATTCAAATAATAAGCACAACATTAACAGTAGTGGACATCACCATTTTTTCACCTCCTTTGCTAAGTGGAAGTAGGCTAATGCATGTAGACAGAAGCAGGACAATTTTTTTTTGTAACACCAACACCAAAACAGTATTTTAAGTTTTTTCCAAATATGTGCTCATTCCAAAATTTGGGACAGGAGCATGTTTAACCTTGTGTTATATCAGCTTGGCTTTTAACAGCATGTAATAATCATTTGGTGACTGAAGACACAAACTTACTGAGTCTTGAAAGTCAATTCAAATAATAAGCACAACATTAACAGTAGTGGACATCACCATTTTTTCACCTCCTTTGCTAAGTGGAAGTAGGCTAATGCATGTAGACAGAAGCAGGACAATTTTTTTTTGTAACACCAACACCTGTCACTCTGGTCAGTCCTCAGACACCACCCTGTGATGACATGAGTTTAGTGACTGGAGCACGATCTAAAAGCATGGTGCAGACCAGCACCAGCTGTACGTTAGCATACAGGGCAGTGGACAGTGACACTCCATGGGTGAGGAGCCACATGCACACAGTGAAAGGTTAGCAGCATGGCAGCACACTGTCTGTGCCAGCTGCACCATCACTGACCTCTCCATGCGGATGGCCTCTGTCTTCCTCAGCTTCTCCTCCCAGGTCTCATTCAGCTCTGCTATAATCTTCTCTGATTCCTGCAGGGGGAGACACAGCCGGAGTCAAAGTCAATCCAAAAATCAACCATTATGGGCAAAAGCAGAGAAAGCTGCCATCATTCTGAATTTATTTAACACATTAACATAAACCATGATGACCTCTGGACACAGGTTATAATGTAAACGTCACAACTAGACTGTGATTAATCCACTGGCCCATTTGGTAGACGGTGGAGAGACTCAAAGCTGTAGACAGACTCACTTTCCAAATGACTAAGCATATTGATTCTTACAGGACCATGAGAACTTGGTGAACCCAATGCAGAAGGACTGCAAACTCATGCTAAGTTAATTGGGGTGGCACAATACACATATTAATATTAATTTATTTCAAAATAGGGGTTGCGAGACATTACACACTAGGAATCAAACAGAGTTTATTTTTAGGAATAGATCTGTGACATCAGAAATCCTGATATTAATTAGAAAAAAAACTTCATAAATTCTATAAAAGATTTAAAAAAAAAGATAAAAAAAAAACAACAAAAACAAAACAATAAGAAAACACTTTGACATTTTATGCTTATTTATTTGCCTGCTCATTTGTTTATAGTTATGGCTTATTGTTTGTGTTAATTGCACTTTCACAAAGTACTGCACACATATTTTAGTAATTGGACAAAAAAATATATTAAAAAACTTCATTCTTTTTCACTTCTGTATTGGAAATGTATCATGGTGCAAAAACCAATGTATATCATATTGTGAAACTGGTGTATTGTTGCACATATGTTAATGACACTTTGGTAGTTGTCCAGCATTTAAGTGTTAGCATAAAGAGCAGTTATAACATATAAACCCAATTCCAAAGAAGTTCAGTATGTAAAATGCTAATAAAAACAGAAAGCAGTGATTACCAAATTAGTTTGACCTGTATTAAATTGAAAATGATAACAAAAACAGTATTTTAAGTTTTTTCCAAATATGTGCTCATTCCAAAATTTGGGACAGGAGCATGTTTAACCTTGTGTTATATCAGCTTGGCTTTTAACAGCATGTAATAATCATTTGGTGACTGAAGACACAAACTTACTGAGTCTTGAAAGTGTAATTTTTTTTGCCATTCTTCTATTACACAAGTCTTCAGCTGTCCAACCGTACAGGGCCTTTGTTGTCATATTGTAAGCTTAATGAGAGACACATTTTTAAGGGAGAGTTCTGGACTGCAGGCTGGCCAATGTCCACTCTCTGATTAAGCAGCCATGCTGTTGTAACAGACAAAAATAAGGCTTGGTGCTGTCAATGTTGAAATAAGCATGGATGTCCCTGTAAGTGACGTCGTTTAAAAGGGGTCATTTGTTGCTCCAAAACATGTTCAGCATTAATGGTCCGTTCAAGTTACCCACTAAGACCCCTCCAATATTATGCCAGACTCTGGCGTTTGAATTTTATGCTGCTAACAATCTGGGGTGCGTTCCCATACAACGGTGGAGGTTAGCTTTGAACTAACATAGTATGATGCATCGCTAAACTAACCAACATTTGAACTACAATCTTTCCAGATTTGTTCAGTTTGAATTTTACAGCGGGAAACTTGCAAAAAATTTAAAGCTTTGTAATATTATGCCAAAATATGACAGCTGTGAATGATTTTACAATATATATGTATTATTTAGGCTATTCGTATTGTAATCATATACCACCAACAACATTATTAGAAGTGCCAAAAAATTGTGATTAAAAAAATAAAAATAGGAATTACAACAATAGCATAATAATAATAATAATAATAATAATAATAATAATAATAATAATAGGCAATGCTATTATGCAGAAGTAAAAAATAGGTAAAAAGCTCGCTATTCCAATACATTTATAAGATCTATCTACAAAAAATAAAAAATAAAACACTATTAACAGTATTAACAGTTATAAATACCCGGCTTGACATTTTGAACCGCTTGTGTTAGTGACTCAGCGAGACAGACGTGCAATTATGACGCCCCATTATGGCAGACATAATTTCTCAAAGACACAGACCTGGGTTTGTAAACCCAAAGGTGATGCATTCTTTTTAGTTAAGTTATAAGTAGTGTTTCCCCAAAACTGTATATAGTTTTGAAACACTTGCATCACATGCATGGTTCTAACTATGCTTTTGGGAAACGTACTCCTAGACGGTCCTTTCCCCTTCAGCCTAGAGAATGTGACGTCCATTATTTCCATAAACAATCTGAAAAGCTGATTCGTCAGATCACAGCACACATTTCCAATATGCATCAGGACATTTCAGACGAGTTCAAGCCCAGAGAAGTCGGCAGCGTTTCTGAACTTTGTTAACATATGGCATCCGCTGTGCACAGTACAGTAACTTGCATATGTGAATGCAGCGACGTACAGTGTTTACTGACAACGCTTTTTTAGAGTATTCTCAAGCCCATGCAGTGATATCCATCACAGAAACATGCCTAATTTTAAATGCAGTGCCATCTGAGGGATTGAATGTCACAGGCATTCATTTGTTGGTTTAGGCCTTGTCCTCTACACATGAAGATTTCTCCAGTTTCTTGGAATGTTTTGATGTTATTTCACAGTGTAGAGGTGGCAGTACCTAAAATCCTTGCAGTCCCTGGCTGAACATTATATTTAGGCTGTCAGATTTTTTGCTGATGCATTGACAGTGGCAAGTGTCAACCCATCCTTGTTCATACAGAACTAGGTCTTTCTTGGATGCATATTTTATACCCAAACATGACTGCATCACCTGTTTAATGTATTTTTTTTAACATTTCAACGTTTCTAGTCTTTAACTGCTCCTGTCCCAACATTTTAGAACATGTTGCAGGCATCAATTTCAGAATGAAATTTACAAAAAAACAATCTGATAAGTTGATAAGAAAAAATATACATCATGTCTTTATACTGTTTCTATTCAAAGCCAGGTCAAAGAAGATGTATAAATCACTTGGTTTTGTTTTTATTTGCATTATACCTACTTTTTTAGAAGTAGGTATAATGCATATATTGGGCATATTGGGTTTGTAAGAAAAGAAGATTTAATTTAACAAGGCACTTATGAATTTTTTCCTAATATCTGTGCAAATATGTGCCACCTCATGCATTTATGTAGGCTTGCCCTTTATGACCGGCAAAAGTTGCAGGCCTACTCTGCTCTTTGTAGAAATATCCTAGGCAGAACCAAGTTTGTGTAGAGAGTTATGCTATCTCTGCTCTATGGCTGATATACTATCTGAAGGTGAAAGTACTGTGAACAAAGCCTTACTGGTGTAAGAACTGGAAAACTGAGCTATAACAGGGCAACCAAGTCTGTTCCCTGGCTTCTCCATTGTGTCTACCTCTCATTGTTCTAAGCAGAGAGGAAGAGTTGGGCCATCTGGCCTAAAATACAGGAAGTTTGCACACTAAACCCCCCAAGATCCTTCCTAAAGGGTTGACACCCTTGCCATCTGTTGTTCTGAAAAAGAACACTGTTGCTATGCTTTTGACTTTAACCTATGTGCTGATTTCTATGATGTTAATGTGAATGTTTACATAGGCCAAGATTACAAATTTGCTAAAAGGAAAAAAAAAAAACCTTATATTAAAAATCGATCTCTTGTATGCCCAGAACTATTTATGTAATAACTAGTCATTCTAGAGCATTACAAGTCATTTTGATTGGAAGCGCCAATTAGCATATCTCTATTTATGCATCCAATTCATTTCAGTGCTCCCACATGACTGACGCAAGACCAAGACATTTCGGTATCTTGAGACTAATAAGGGATTTAAAGGAGGCTCTAATGCTGTTTTATGTGGCCTTTTTACGCCTAATAGCCACAAAGAACAAATCTATTTTTGTCTGATTTCCGAACTGCGTTGGAGACTGACGTCACTGGATGACAGACAAGAGTGCGGGCCATTGCTGTAACCATGGAAACTACAGCTCCTGAAGGCAAGATGCTCTAACTGACTATGAGTTCTGAAACAGACAGAGAAAGAACTGTGGGTTAGCGAGCGAGGAAGAGAATGAATGTGGAGGATGTGTATAGTCATTGGTGGTGGGGAAAGCACGATGAGACAGACTTGTCTTCTCTTAAGAGTAGTGCTCAGTGATATATCATCTGTACTGGTTTAACAGTATTGGTTAACTGATCTTCATTTTTAACGGTACTGATTCATAACAAAAACCTCATTGTTTGTCATTTGCCAGGTGTTCGTATAGTTTTAAAGGAATAGAAGAAGTGCAATCAAAATAAGTCAGGCTTCTAAGATTTTCTTTTAGCAAGTGTTCATTATCTTTGTTAATGAAATCTTAAGTATCTCTGACACAGTGATATTTTTGGAAATATGGTACTGAATTTCATCAATGTTAGTAGTGAAGCCCTCTGTTAAATATCATAAGTGTTAACAGAACCCAATACATTCTATTAGCCATGTGCAACACTGAAATCTTTCAACTCCACTACTCCTCAGTGGAGCACTTTCAAGACAGCTGGTCACTGAGAGCTGCGACCGTCATATCAACAGCACAAGCAAGGACAAAAACTTGGGAACATTTCTGAGGTTACCATGGTGACTTACATCACAGCATGCATTCTTAATAAGTAAGCAATTTATTAGCAGCAGAATGTTAGAAATAAATAAGTCTCTTGGGCTGCTGTGCAGAGCAGTCAGCTGGTGGAATTTAGGATGAAGACAAAGACACTGAACTTTCTGCTTTGGGTTGGCTGAAGGTTCAGGAGATGCCTAGAGCAGAACTCACTGGCCACATGTCTTCTATTGAACCACTCATATCCCTATTTGTGGGAAATGTTCATAGCAACAAGGGAAACCAATTACAGCCTAAATGGCATCTGTTATAGTTATTACCTTTAGCCTCCATCTCCTAATTACACTACGGGTCAAAAATATGGAAGAGCTCAGTGATTTTTAGAAATGTTTTAAAATTAAGGTTATTTGCATAAAATACAACATTATATGTTTACTGACACATTTTAACCACAGACATTTTCCCAAAAACATTTTATTGGGTTTCATTATTATATGGGAAAAGGCTCAACTCTGTTTGGAGAGCAGCTCATCAAAAAGACCAGTTGATAATCATTTATAATCTCATAATGTAAAATTCCTGATGCAGTTTATCAAGACATAAGCACCTGAAAGTGATGCTAACTCCACAGTTTAAGAATCATCTTTGTGCTAAGATGCTTTTGGGAAACCTGGCCTGTAGCTTCAAAACTTTTTTTTGTTCCTTTCTGTAAATCTAAATGGCTGTATTTTTGTCATCAAGCCTATATAGTATGACATATAGTACATGTGGTGTTACATGTAGTGTTTCCTTCACTTAAGCAATTGCACATAACAAAAATAAAGCAAGCAGATAATAATGTAATAAGGTGTAAGCAGTGCTGTACAGTGACTCACCTTGAGCCTTTCGATGGCCTCCTCTCCACCAGGAGTGGACATGATGCGTTCCTGGATGCTGGAGACGGACTGCAGGCCAGCCTGGCTGCACAGAGAGCCCAACGACGGCGATGCTGTCAGGCACCCCATCGGCGCTGTGGAGAGATGGCCAGGCCGTTGGTTCTCTGAGGCTAGCAAGTATCTATGCTTATTGTTGTGAATATCTTTCAGGTCTGAGCCACGAAGGAGAGACGAGGGAAAACAGGATGAGGGGAAAAGAGGAGCAAGAATGGTGTAAAACAGATAAAGGGAGAGGAAAATAAGTGAGATGAAGAAAGAAAGAAGAAAGGGAGAGAGAGAAAGAGAGAGAGAGAAAGGACAAAGAGGAGGAAAGTCTAGTGTAAGACACACAGTTCACAATAAAGGATAAAAACAAACACACCAGTCAAATGGTTAGAAGCACAAAGCAGTAGTTTTCACACCAGGGGGTTTTAATGCCAGTTCAGATGTAATTTACTCTTAATTAGTGTGGCTAATTATTTTCTTTTGCCTTTCAAATTGAACCATATCAAAATGTTGAGACATTTGTGCTTTAAGAAATCAAATTACTGCTGAAGCTCTGGATTTCACACTTCAGTAAAAATCTTGGAAAATAAACTGTATATTAGATTTAGGGCTGTCATGATTAATCAAGTAAACTTTACTCCTTGATTTTAAGAAAGTCATCCATTGGCAGTGACACGTCTGACAGTAAGAAAAACAGCATGACAGATACAACAAAATTACATGCACAGTGTTTTATTTGCACACACTACCATTCTAAAGTTAGGAATCACTTTTTTAACTTCTATAAATACAATCTGGCTGCAGACAAATGAATAAAATAATTCTAATCTTCACAAGTTTCAAATAATTAGGAAGCTGAAATAAAAATGAGGAAATTTTAGATGTGCACAGATTGACGAATGGAACTGTAAAAGATAATATCAACATTTAAGTTATAATAAAATTAAAATTCAGAATTCACCATTTCAGGTTATTCAATTTCTACCTCTCTTTTTGTGTTTATTTTTTATCTATGTCACTGCTTCATATAATTTAAATGAATATTCTTTACTTTTATTATTTTTTTTCCATTACAACGTTGTTACTGAACAGTAGCTATAATAGAAGAAAATTAAACTAACTTTCTTCTATTAGTATAAACTTTATCACTTGTCTGTGAGGCACTCTGAGCTGCCACTGGTATGAAAATGCTCCATAAATAATTGTGTTTTTGTTGTTGTGATCAAATCTCAAGTAAGACGACAAAAAATGACTCTAAACTTCTAAAACGTATTGTATATAATTTAAGTCTAGTTTTCCAAGAAGCTAGTTCTCAACAGACTATAATCTTTGGAACGCTACTCGAATAATTATCAAAATAGTTACTGATAGGATTGATAACGAAAGCCCCAATTCTATTTTGTACTTTCTGGGTGAATTAACAGACTGAGTCATTTTGAACAGCACACAAGACTAATACTGTTGATCTGGACCTGGGTGAAAACCACCTTCACTTCAGGAGAGGAAAGAGAGCTGAAGTGAGAAAGGCTGCACAGAGGCCAAGGACTGAGAGAGAAATGGGGGAAGGGGAGCTGCATGAAAACACATGCTACAGTTCCAGCCTGTGACGCAGTGGGCTCTGTCTTCTCCCCGCACACACACACACACACACACACACACACACACACACACACACACACACACACACACACACACGTCACCCAGAATGTCATCATGCTCTCACTGCTTGAGAGCCAAGCTACAGAGCTCCACAAAATGGCCATGGGAGCATCTAAGGTGACTGAGAATGGACTGCTGAAACCTATCCCAGGGGGTCTAAACACAGAGAAGGTTTCAGCTGCCTATTCACTCTACCAGCTCTATTCAGCTTCTGTGTGAAAAATGGAGCTCTCCTGAAACATCTAGACTTTTACAGCTGCAGAGCAGCAAGGCATTACGTATCTGCTCACACCATGCACAGAATTCATGCAATTTAAACAGCTAGCGTACAGGACTTTCCAGTACTTCAAAACAGAGAATCTGTATTGCTAGAGCAGCAGAGAACGCAAATAAATGTATCTGTCTCTTGATGCTAATCAAGAACTCCCAGACAGATGCTAAAATAGACAGAGTTCTGTTTCAGTGGCTGTTTCGCTCCTGCAGCTTTTTAAAAAGAGGGACACGAAGTGCGTAACAGGATACAAGATGGGGACAGGGTAAGGCAAGGAGAGGACACGGAAGCACTCAGAAGGTAAGAGGAAATAAAGGTCAAAGAAAACGACTAGATTGACACGGCTACAGTAGACTAGGGCATTCTGACACTGCACAGCAAACTCAATAAAATCCACCTCTATTTCTGCAAATGTAAAAATAAAGCATGCACCTTTCCTCCGGAAGTGAGAACTTAGCTGAATACTGTCACCTGTAATGGATAGTTAACATGACAACACACACCTTCACTGACAAGAACAGAATAGGGTAATGGAAAAGAGAGGAAGAGTTAAAGCTAAAATGACATTTAAATGCAGCAACAAAGTTAAACATATTAATGGTATTTGGTGCTTCTGAAGGGGCCTATCATTTCTAACGCCTGGGGGAGGGGTGTGGGCAAAGTGTATGTGATTCAAACTGCTCCATTCCAGACTGACTGTCATACAAGCAGAGCAGGTAAAAGGCATGCAGCTTAGGGATGCACAGAATATTTTCAGCTGAATTTGGTCCAAAATGGTGCAAAATCAATGATTAAATAGGCCTATAATGTAGTATTGAATTCAAAGACTTCAGTTTTAAAGATAAAACGAGAAACAGTGATTAAAAACACTGTTTCCTTTGTTATTTTCAAGACAGGCGAATTCAAACAGTTAATGCAGCAGCTGCTAAACAGAGAAAATGTAAGCCAAGTTAAAATGTTTCACAATTTCACAATCATGCCAAGTATCAAGAGGAGGTATAAAGCCAAGAACATCTCCACTACAGGCTTGACACCACTTGAAAACACTACATCTGGCTTAATATGCAGAGTACAGCAAAACAATAGATGCTAACATCCCTACAAGTACAATAACGCCATCTGTAGCCTAGGTTTCTCAAATAATTATAAAAAATCTTAAATACCAGTGCCAAAGTGTACAGAATGATTAGTTATTTTACATAAACCATTTTGATTGTTTTTTTTTCAGTTTTTATTTAATTACCTGAATTTCAGTTTTGGTTTCAGCTAAGGATTTAATATTTCAGTGCATCACTAATACAGAGGTGTGCTAGACCCCCGACGCGCCCGCATCACTTTTAACCCTACCCAACCTAAACCCACTAGGTCAAAATTTGTCTGGGACTCCTTGTGTCTCAAGCTTTAGCAAGAAGAAAAACAGGCATGCAAAGCCAGCAGGTTCAACTCCAGAAAGGGCCAGAAGCAATGACTGTTTAAGCCACCAGCAGCAAGAATAAGAAGAGAAAGAGGGCGAGGATGGTGCAAAGTTATACATATACACACATTTGCTTCCACTTCCAGAGTAATCATCCCCCATTGGCTCGACTGAAGGGAAGCGGGAAGAACAGGAGAAGGATGAGAGGTCAGAGTTGAGAGGACTGGTAGAGGAGTGATGGAAGCAGTTAGTGAGTTCTGACTGGACTAGTCCAAATGTACACAGAAGATGAGGGATCAGGTGGAACACTATACGCTAGAATGAGCATGCAGTAATCATTCTAATAGACCATAACAAAAACAAGTTATCCAATCTAACGCATTTCAAGTGACATATTCCTGTGTGAGTGCATGTCTACATGTCATTAGGACTGTCACTATTACTTGAACCAATTAAACTTGGCTACTCAATTTTGTCGAATTATCAATGAAAATTTACTTTTTAGATGAATCTACAGTAATTAGTAAGCAATTCAACAACTCTTACAACAAAAAAGGGTTAATGTATAAAGAATGGTAGTTTACTTTTTTCCAATTAAAGGGAAATTCCACCTATGTTAAAAATTCTGCAATACTCTGAACAACTTTTTTTGTTTTCATGAGTGTTTTAACATGAAATGGTTCAATAAAGAGAAACTTGTCAGCAGAAATAGAACTTTAAAATCTATCCTGAACGATACAGTTAGCCAGTGCGGTTCTTTCAAAATGCGAGTGATATGATCTCTCTTCTTTGTGTTTTGTTAGGATGCGTGCTGCTGCATTTTGTATGAGTTGTAAGGGATGTATAGTTTTCACAGGAAGTCCAGTAAGAAAAACATTACAGTAGTCAAGTCTGCTTGTAGCAAATGCATGAACAAGTTTCTTTGCGTTGCTCTGAAAGAGAAAAGGCGATATTTCTCAAATTATTAAAAGCTACATAGCTAGTTAATGCACACATGCATTTATCCTGTAAAAATAAAAATTTATTGTACCTGAAAAAAGAAGAAAACAGATACTGATGTATCCCTACTGTGAATGATTCAGTATGTTGCTCTAGAATGGCACATTTTACATCAAACCACTCTGAATGACAATGTTATAGCTTAGCGGTTTAATAATGCATAGCAAAAGATTTAAATGCAAAGATTTAATTTCTCAATAAATTAGGAAAAAAAACTGGTAGAACTCCCCTTTAAGAACTTTGGAATTAATGATCATAATCAGTACATTACTTCATTAATAATAAATCAAGAGTGACAGTCCTATGTTTGGTGTCTACAAAACTGTCTACACATTATAGTGCCACGTAGCTTCTTGAACTACTAGGAATCTACATCCCCTGGCAGGTCATGCAATCTTCTATGGCCAACAAAACAGTGAATATCTTAAATGGATTTCATAAATATCTTCATATAACAAATCCTCTGCTCCCTCTCCTTGTTTATCTCTTAAATGAAGGACTTCAGGTCTAGTGGCATTAATGCAATGGCATTAAAACAATGTAAAGAGACTTAAGCTGAGGAGAAGACAGAGGAGAGCCTTGTCAGCTTAGAGCTTAGTGAGTATTGTGAATGGCCGATGGGTAAGCAAGGTGAGAGCCTGCTACAGACGGTGTGTCCTGACTTACTGTCCAGGATGTCGCCAAGTCCCTGGGCCCGGAGTAGCTCCTTCAGCCGTGTCACCTCGTCCTTCAACTCACGCACCAGCTTGGCGTTGGGGTCTTCGTTGATCACAGCATTGCACTTGATCTGCTTGGCTCGGTCAGCATATCTTTGAGTGTGAAATTGTTTGTGGTTGAGGAAAAGGAAGAACAAGAGAGAGAGAGCAAAAGAAATAAATACAGATGAGACAGAAGGCCTAAATTAATGTATCACAATTTCCCTCATTACTAACAGGAAGCTGAGACAAAAAGTACAGTTAGTTTTACAGCGCTCCATGTTGCACTGTGTTTGGAAGAGGAGCAGTGGGAGAGTTCTTACCTCAGGGTGCTTAGAGTCTCATCATAGTTAATATCAGCAGGGCTCAGAGCAGCCACCATAGCTGTCCTTGAGTTTCCACCTGTGTGAAGAAATTAAAAATTAATAAAACTAAAAAAATAAATTCCTTCCACGCTGTTTTCACCAGAAAATACAAAAGCACTTTAAAAACAAAACACAAAAGCTTCAAAACATCAAAGTATACATAGAAAAGAGCACAAGTGGAAGAGACCCTGAATGAAATCTGCTGTTTCTTTAAACAGCTGCATGAAGATCAATAGAATCCTGCACAAGAGTAATCTGCTTCATATCACATCAAGGTTTGGTCAAACCTTCATGTAATATGAGGTCAAATTACAAGAATGTTTGATACTATTGAAGCTTTTTATCATTTATTTTACTAATTCTGATTATTTAGAACATTATTTATTTAATGGCGCTTTTATTTGCATTTTTCATCATCTGTCAATTACCCTTTTAAACAAATAAAACTGTTTGTATGTATAATTTTCTTTGTTGATTTCTATTTTACCATGTAAATACTATGTAAAGCAGTCAGAGCTAAATTCCATGCATGAAGGGGAATACATTAATAAAAGTTCAGCATTCTTAATTATTATTATCACAATATCTAAAAACCATGGCTGAGCTCACTTACCTAAATTCTCTCTTAGAAGCCACGTCAGCACAGAGTCTCGGTAAGGGATGAAATCGGTCTTCTTTTTCTTTTTGCTCTGTTTTATAACAAGGACAGTCATTAAAACTCACATTGGAAACATCAAAACAAATTGGATTCATAATAAAACATAAGGAAATGCTTAGGTTGAAAATGGAGGGGATTTTTTAGTGATAAAATGGGGTTCAGGTTCAGCAACGAAGGTGAAAATAAATGTTAGTCGATTCCAGGACGAACTGCTTGAGTTTGTTTTCTGGCAAGTCAGAAGGTGTCACTCAACACAGAAGGTTTACCTTGCTGGTACAGTTATCCTGGGTAGGGAAGCATTTCCAGGAGAGAGAGACAAACAGCACACAGTGTTACAGCAATGCTGTCAGACATGCAGGAGAGAGAGACAGACAGACAGTCCATGCCAGAGTAACAGTCTCCACAATAGTACTCACCACTTCAGCAAGGGCAGAAATCACCTTCCCCAGGGTCGTCAGCGATTTGTTGATGTTTGCTCCCTCCTGTGAAACAAAAAATTAGTGAGAAAGCAGCTCTTAATTTAATTGTCTTCATTGAACAGACTATCTGCCAATGACAAGGTAATGATGACAATTTCTTAACACTTGCACTATGCAATGCTTGTTCTGTTGAACACAATATTATGTGGCTGAGAAACTGCAATGTTTTAAGGATGTACACTGTGGCTTTAATTGAGTGCTTTGACTTCAGTGCAGTGCTTTGTACAAGGGGGGGTCTGAGGCATACAGTACTGTGCAGAGTACTGTGTCAGAGACCACCCTTCATTTATTCCATTTCCAGTCAGAATGCAATGTTATTCATTTTTCAGGAGATATTTTGAGAACAGATATAAGCATAAAAAACACTAAAAGATGAGAAAATGGGACTCCTAACTATTACGCAAGAGCTGATATGCCACCAAAACAGTAATCGTCAGCTAATCAGTGCTTAAAGCTTTCATCTTTGACAGATAGGAGAAAAATCAAGCTCCACTCTTGCTTTATGAAAAACAATTCAGAGGTGTTTCTGTCCATCCTTCTACTATGAGAAGACAACTCAACCCTACGAGTCTGAAGGGATGTGTAGCTGTCAAGAAGCCCTTACTGAGAAAAGGAAATAGATAAAAAAGAAGATAATATGCAAATCAAACAAAGGCTATGTTCACATATCAAGCCTCAATTCAGATTTTTTGCTCAGATTCAATCTTTCTAACTTGATGGTTCACATTCGTAGGTAACTGACTCAAATCTCTCATTAATGGGAATGAGCCAGTATGCTGAAATGGCCCCTAGCGCACATCCTAATCAATAACATATCGTGAATGAATCATGTGAATCATGGTGAAGGTGAAAGTTCAGATGCTTTTGCTCAGTTTACTGGCACTAAGTTTAGGTTAGGTGCTAAATGATGGTGCATACACAGTGTGAAAAAAACAAAACAAAACACATGAATTTCCATCAGTCCAGCCTCATTAGGGTCGCATGGCCACGAATCAGATATGTATCCGATCTAGGACCACATATGAAAGGGGCTCAGACCTGTTTCAAAATGATTAAATTTGTGTGTCCCAGCTCTGAGGAAAAACAAAACAAAAAAAAATATTTAATTTTTCCCACTTCAACCATGTGAAGTTGTAGCCAAAGAAGCTGCTGGTGTTCTCAGAACAACGGATTGGCCATCCCAGAGTCCAGACCTCAACACTGCATGACTGAAACTTGGAGGTGCGAAAAGATATCCATGCAGATGCTTTTGAAAAACTCAAAGCAAGTCTGTCAACAACAACTTAAGCTGTAATAAAGGCAAAAGGTGGACACACTATAAAAAAGTTTCATATTTCATATTATATTTATGTTTTATATTGCACTGTTAAGGCCTAGGGGAAAATTCCTTCAAATACATGTTTTCTGCTTTGTTCCTGAAACAGAAAGAATGTATTTGTACTCAGTGGCCATTTTGACTATAAAAGTAAATGAATGATTTTTCAAAGTACTGCACATATTTCAGTGTGTGGCATCTCTAGACCAAGTGTGTCTGTGTGTGTGGGTGGGGGATATTATCAGTCTCCCCTGCCTGTTCCACACAGCCCTGCGGCAGTGGTGCCACCTGCAAAGGGCAGTAAAATTAGTCTGTACCTTCAGTCTGGTGCCTTTGGCCCCAGTCGAGTCAGCGCGCTCGCTGCCTGCCAGGTCCACCAGGCTGATTTTGCTGACCTGAAACAAGATAGCACAGCAACATTCACAACAGGGACACAAAGGGAGAAATCAATAAAAAAGACAAAGACGGTCTCCAGCTTTGCACGTATACTGTACATCACAAAGAGCCTCCATCTTTTCATTCTTTTCCCATTCAATGTTCTTTTGCCATTGATCAAGATTATAACAACCTCCACATTAGTTCAAGTTCATGCTCCACTGCCATAGTAAATTCATGTGAGTCTGCGGATGATTCTTTAAACTTTAAAAACGCATCAGCCAAACTACCTGGGTCAAACACCTACAGTTTGTTGCAAAATCTTTTTTTGCCCTCCCACTCTGGTATGAGTATAGCCCAATTGCAGGCTTGTATAGTAAAATGTAATGTAGTCATGCTGTACAATGGCTATTGTGTGCATCGACACCACAGTGGCGCTTTTGTGTGCCGGAGAATCAGACAATGAGCCCTACACACAAGGCGGGTGGGATGTCTCCCTCCCCTGCCCTCCGGGCCTGCAGCCGGGCTGCCTCTCCCTCTCTGTAACCCAGACTGAGCCTCTGCAGGTTGAGGTGATGGCTGTTAGTAAGGCGGCGACTCTGACCTTCTCTGTGGACAGATCTGTCTCGCTGTCGTGCCTCCTCTGGGTGAAGACGATGGTGAAGACAGCGTGGGAGCGGCTGCTGGTCTCATTCATGTTTGTGGCAGCGACCGTTCTGAAGAGAAAATGTCAAAGACATACACGTTAGGTGCGTAAGAAGACCTAAAAGTGCTGACTCAATTGTGCCAACTTAGGAATATTAGCGTAATAATATTCAATAAAGTATAATTCAATGTTCTGGCCAAAATAAAATTGCTAAGGAAACCCAAAAATCCAAATGTTCCAAAATATTCCACTCATATTCAGTCACATTTATCACACACAAGCTACCTGCTCTGAAATATCACTGGCCCATATCTTTAGGAATTCCTTCCTAACAGAAGGTGCAGCTAATCACTAGTGACCCTATGTAACAGAGAGGGAGTCTGAGGCCAGGCATGCTTAGCACTAGAGTGCGTGGCACACCCACACTACGGATAATCCTGGAAAGTACTAGAGAGCACACGAATAAGACTATAACTCCTACATCGACTGTGCAGTAGCGTGGTACAAACTCTGGAGAAACAAGCCTTACATGACAGATTCCACAAATAAACCATGGGAGTCCACACTGGAGGATTACAGACATGTTACACCACTTCAAGAGAACACAATCAACATGTTCTGTGACAAGTCATGACCTTCCTCTTCAGATGGGCTATTTTTACAAAGCATAATGGCATCCTCTGTGTTGCCTACACAGTCCACTAACGTGACTTCCAGTTCACTGAGAAATATATCCAGACACAGAGCTCCAAACAGTTTCCTTCAACCATGTTTTTCATGTTGTTTTGAAATTTCTAGTCTCTCCGGAACAGAGGTTACACACTGTCCTACTTGGGACATTCAGTGCTGCAGAATGTAGTAAACTAAATAAAAATACACAGGAGACGTTATTTTTTGAAAAGGGTGAAGCTCCCTAGTGACGGAGAGCCATTTTCACAGCAGTGCTGTTTGGCTGGAGTCATCCACTCACCTGGCCTTGTTACCAGCATCCATGAGGTCAGCGATGTCTGTGTAAGAGGTGACAGCTAGTTTAGACAAATCTTCGACATATGGCCCGAGCAGAGGATGTTCCCTCACACGCAGGTTCCCTTTGTTTTTAGGGTTCAGCAGGTCCCGCACTCGTTCACAGTATATCTCCATATACGCCACCTACACATGGACATATGTTTAGTTTGACATGATATGCTGACACATCTTCAGGTAATACGCTGGCTAGGACCTAGGCCATACGTAGACAACAGCTGTGATCAAAATCTTGCTTCATTCCCATTTTTTGTTTTTATATGTTTTAAAGCTATTTTAAACAAATCTATTTATCAAAAAAATCACAGAGAAATAATTTCCTAACATTTGCCCTTTTCTAGTTTAAATTTTTATTGAAATTTTGTTCATTCATTTATTTATTTATTTATTTATTTTTTGGCATTTACTTGCATTAACATAAAAAAACACTGACGAATGTTCAAACAGGATGTCCCGCCACAGAAAAATAATACAAAATTTAGATTTGTTTCACTTTCTTGTTTTAATGTTAAAAAAACAGTTTTCATAATAACATTCACTCCTTTCTAGTTGCTGCAAGGCTTGGTAAAGGCTGGACGTAATGGTAAACAGACAGGCCAGAGCAGAGTGGCCTTTAAAGAACCCCATTACTCCCCCCGCCTGACTGCACTAATGTAGCCGACCCAGTCGACCCGGCTCTTCAGTGAGTGATGGAGAGAGTGGGAAAGGGCTTGTGGGAATAGATCTGGGGAGAAGGGGCTGTGTGCCACTCACCTCCACTGAGTACGAGATCTCTTCGTTGTTGTTGTCATTGATTTTCTCGAAGAGTTCTTCACAGAGCTGAGCAAAAGTGGGGGGGAGGAAAATGATGCATTAGGCAGTGAGGAGAGACTGATCGATACAGCACACAAATAACTCGAAACACTGCTGAATGCTCTAGACAGAGAGCTAATTCCTTAATGTCTTTTGGCAACAGTTACTGTGGGATCAGGGTCTGGAGACAAACCTGAATCATTCTCTTCTATTTTTTCCAATTTCCCCCCTTATTCACTATAGTTGTTTTCTGGAAATGTATAATGCTTTGGTACCTGAGGGATGATTCCTTCCTGTCCTTCTTCCTGTTTCCCCATCATCGTATAAGATTTGCCAGCTCCAGTCTGGCCGTAAGCAAAGATGCAAACATTGTAGCCTTCGAAGGCATGCTGCAGCATCTCCTTCCCAATGTCATTGTACACACGGGATTGGGAGGCGAAGCTGGGGTCGTCCGGCTACACAGAGGAGAAGAAGAGAGAGAGGGGGAAAAAAGCCAATTTAACACACATTTTCTGCCTGCCAGATAACGATTAATTACCCTCATAATTCACACAACAGGCACTTTTTAAAAGATGTAATACAACAGCAGAGAGAGAGAGAGAGAGAGCGAGAGAGCGAGAGCGAGAGGGAGTGAGAGAGGGGTGTAGGGAGGGAGAGAGATATCTTACCGAGGTGTGTGACCAGTAAGAATAATCAAAGCTGAAGGACTTTGGTGACTCTTTTGGGTTTTTGGGATTCAATATAGCTGCAAGAGAGAACGAAAGAGAAAAGATCAATACAATGTACACAGATATTTATCTTCATGTAGGACACTGAGTAAAAGGTAAGCTCTGATAATGACAAAACATATTTTTAAAAGTTACCGGCATTTCTTTTTAGCTTTCAAAGAAGACGAGCATTCACCTATTATGACCTTCACATGATATTCACCTATTATTTACATTTATAAACCAGTCACGTAAATGACACTCTACAGGAATCTGTAGCAGTCTAAAGCAGTATGTTCAAGAATGTTACAGAGTGCATCTATTCAAACGGCTGGATCTTCGGTATTAAAAGCAATGGCTATGGACTGATGGACTGATTTTCATGTTGTCCACCTCCTCAGTGCTGCCTCAGTGCTGCACCCAAGCTATACTGAAATTACATATGCCTTTACAATGAAAGAAGCTCAGGAATGTCATCCTTAAAATGTTGTGTACATGCCCTCCTTAAGGAAATACCTTACTGCAAAGAACAAAGAAATGACCACATTATTAATTCACCTACAATGTACAACAAAGCGTTCACCAGTCAAACAATGTGGTGTAAAAATTAGCAAGTCTGCAGAGGGGGGATGTGAAAGCCAGAGTGACACACATGACTTCACAGCACGCAAACTGAAAATGTAAATCACTGATTTAAGCACTTTCTATTCAGACCTAACAGTTGAGAGAGGTGAACACTGTTAGCAAAGCACTTGGCTTTTCGAAACATGCAGTTTGTATGAGCGTTTAAAAGAAGCTGAAAGAGCTGAATGTTCCAAAGCGTGAAAGAGTTTAGGCTACGGCTGGACCAATATGAAATTGTAACTGATACTGACTTCCAGTGGTTAAAAATTCAGATAACCAATAATTCTGGCTGATCCAATTTTAAATGGTCAAAAATTTAACTCTAAGGGTCGGCTTCCCAGACAGGAATCAAGTCTAATTCTGGACTACACAGTTTTTTCTGTTAAACAGAAAATATAGTCCATGATTAGGCTTAAGCCCTCTCTGTTTAGTTAAACATCCATCCATCCATCCATCCATCCATCCATCCATCCATCCATCCATCATCTAACCCGCTTATCCTTCTGGTGTTTAGTTAAACAGTAGAAAAAAAATAATAACTTTAGTTAAACTGTGCTTTAATGACTGTTGCACAACTGTTAGAGAGAAGCGTCATACCGTGCTGTTATTTGGGTTTTTTCATAATAACTGAATAATTCCGCTAAGCACTGACTGTCAAGTAACGATATGCTTTTCAGGCTGGCTTCAACAAACCGACATTCAGGTTAATAATATTAAAACGGTATTAAAAATATTGAAACAAATTTAGATGAACCAGGCGCTGCAACAGTTTCATGGCTGTATCCATAATGCAAAAGGCAAGCCTTAAAGCAGCAGCAGTTATCTTGGACTGCACCCAGGTATCTTTACAAACCTCCAGTTAATAGTCTAAGTAGTATATTTTTGGAAGACGGAATAGTGGATATTAAAACATTTGACAATGTTTGTAGTGTCTTTGCTATTACTTTTTCCTGTATTTTGCAGAACTGTTGTAAGAAAGCAACAGAACACTCAAGGTTGTGTGTTACAGAGAATAACAACATCACAGCTGTGATTTTGGTTCTATTGTTTGTCCGTTTTCAACTGTCAACAGGGGGCAGAGCTTCTCAGTATACTCAATGATTCAGTTTCTGTTTATTAGCTCTTCTTTTTCTTATTTGTGATAAGTTCTATTCATATGTTTCTGTGTGATGGTATATCACCTTAATGGCTAAGTTTGGATGCATTTTATGTTGACCATGATTGTGTCCAAATTTACCCGTTCAGCCTCTATTACTGCAACAGAGGACAAAGTGCTGAGTGCAGCTTTAGCTGTCTGTATAAAGATTGGCACATGAGAATGAAATATGAGCATTTTTAGAGCAGGATTTCTAGTTTAGAGCTTTGTCTGTAGGTTATTTGTCAATACTGATAAATCTGCAGGATATTAATTTTGCCTGATGTGATCAGCCAACCATGGTTTGGACACTGCATACGCAGCATTCAGCTATGTGTGTGGCATGACCAGCTTCTCTCGTCTCTCATCTCCCCTCTCTCCTTATCTACTTCCTTGTTTACCTTATCTCTCTAAATCTTTCTGTGCGAACCATTTCAGCTGTGCCGAATTTACTTCCACAGAACTCATTCCATTCTGCCCACCTCCCTCAATCCACACATACCTCACTCTCTCCGAGCCGTGCACACACACCCCATCCTTCTCTCTCTTGTGGCTACACAGGCCTTCTGTCTTAATAAACAGGAATCTGCAGCCATGTCTGGTATGCAGCAAGGCCTTAACATGCAGCCTGCTCCCCATCTCCGTACTGTAGGGTATTTATAGTTATTAGCCAGCCAGTTGGTGCTGAAGCCCCCTTGATTGACTGCGTCAGAGCTGGCCGGCATGTTGGGGTCTTGGCAAGTGCCTTGGCTCAGGTCTATGAGCGGCAACTGGAAAAAGCAGAACAGGGAGCGACTGACGAATGTGATGAACACGCTCCGGGCCTAGCAACCACCCAAACAAAGCCGCAACACACAGGCTGTGGCCAGGGTCACTGTAAAGACCATCCTTCTGTTAGTTTTCAGATTGGGGCACTGATGCTAATGCAATCAGCCCCCCCCCCTGCATAGAGAGTGCTATACATGCCAGTGCAACAGGAGAAAAAAGACAGCAGGAACAGAGAGCGCTCTTCATAAGTCAATAGTCTAATTAGGCACCGTGCTTGAGATGAGGGGGCTTCAGAGCCTCCTGCAGTGAGAATCCCCTATGCAGCTTGGCTGGTGTGCTGCCTAACCTCACTGCATACATCAATAATGCAGCAGAGTGTGTGTGTTAGGGGTGCAATGATACAAATATAATATAATATAATACAAGACATAAAACTCGCCAAGCGAGCTCTTCAGAGGCATTAGCCTCAGGTGTGATTCCTGCTGTCACTTTGCTACAGAGACTGGCTGTTTACATGCAAAGATTTTTGCCAATCCGAATGAATACATTCCGATTACAGATTAAGACTGAAGTGTTTATATGAACACTCTATTCAATAATCTGATGAAAATCTTCGTTTATATGCTCACTAAAAGTAATCCGATCCAAAATGACACGCATGAGTGGAGCACCAGTTAGAGTAAACGTTACCATGACAGCGAGCATCACGTGAGGTCCAGTCAGCGTGAGATGAGTTTCCAGTTGGCGCGCTGGAGTTTTAAACTGCTTTAAAATGATGTCAGACTCAGGAAAATGTCCTTATTAAAGAAGGCCAAGAGGAAGACGTCGTGTTCTGAGACACATAAGATGGACGTCCGTCCCACCGCCGTCTTTTAAAGATCAGAGCATAAACTTTGTCTCCTCTGCAGACCAGTTTCTGCTCCGCCATGTTGAACGTTCTAAACTTTTGCCAGAGCTGGTTTATGAGTTCTGTGCTTTTGATATGACGCGACGCACATGCGCAGAACATACTTACACGTTGCGATTGGAAATGTAATCCGATTCAGGAGCTTACATGGCTATTATTCTTCTATTTAACGGATTATTTACAGGATTACCCACCTCGTTCAATCGGATACAAATTGTATTCCGAATGGCCTCAAATGGACTAGACTATTCCGATTGAAGTGTTTACATGGACGTATTCTATTCCGATTGAGCTATTAGTTGGATTATTAACGGATTATCAGGGTGCATGTAAACGTGGCTAATGTTATTGAAAGAGACAGATAAGGAGCAAGGATCAAAACTATGAAACATACTTTACTTATAGCTGTACAGAAGTGCCTTTCTAACGTGGAACAAAACCTATCCTTCTTCACTGAAATGCCGCTCAATCCAAAGTAGTTGATCTAATATAGCTAGTTAATACACTTCACTTGAAATCAATATGATTTTAATGATTCAGTTGTTAAAGTGCATCGCAGTCATTTATACAATCAACTACTTAATTCTAAGCAAGTTATTCAGTATGGAACAACAGCACTTATACTTAAAAGAATATTGATGTGTCTCTAATAAGATTCAACAAAATGCACGTCTCTTCTGAACTTCTATATGTAAATGTTCAAGAAAATAGTGGAAAATCTGATAAATAGGTTTTCTTCGGGGACTATTTTGCCCTGCATGTACCTCTCGGTCATGAAGGACTTTTTGAAGAAGAAAAAAAAGGGCCAAAATCTTTTCTTAAAACCATCATAAAACAATATCTCTAGCATTAGACAGCATATTCGTTATCATTTCTTTCTATGTGGTAGGAAAGACTTTGTTTAAAATGTTAACCAATTAATTACGCAAAAATGTAAAAAAATAAAATAAATTAAAAAATCAGTAAAATTCTGCTTTAAAACCACTAAAATCACTGTGTCAGAGAGAGATAGTGAGAGAGAGAGAGAGAGAGAGAGGAGAGAGAGAGAGAGAGAGAGAGAGAGAGAGAGAGAGAGAGAGAGAGAGAGAGAGAGAGAGCACAAATGAGTGTAGTGGAGCCTTTGTCCAACACAATCTCCTTTAACTATCGTTCACAGACGGGTGAGAAAGATAAACAGATGAAACATGAAGTCAAATGTCTGTAGAGCGTAAAGAGTGAAGGCCTTTTCCCCTGATAGCATGAAAGCAGTGTGCCCGACTGCTGAGGTCGCACATGTTGTCTGAGGGCCATGCAGGTGAGTAAAGGTTGCAGTCTATGTCACATTCCCAGTTTCTCCATAAATTGGCCCATTTGAGAACGGACCATGCGGCTATTTTAGACTCCGGGTCATTAGGTGAAAAAGCAAAGCTAAATTAAGAGCAATTTCAACTCTGACCTGTGCTCTGTTCCTGGAACACAAAGCCCAGAGAGGATATAAATGTTCGCTACATACACTCAGCCCTAATCACCATTACTGAAACTGTGGGGTGACGAGAGCAGGTGGATATTGGGACACTGGAGTAAAGCCCAGCTATGTGGAGCTGACCCTCTGGTGGACTTCCCCT